TTCTCAGCACCGCAGAGAATCACAACAGAGAACGTGGGAAAGTCAGAGTAGTGGAAGTGCTTGCATTTTGAGGCTTAAACCAAATGTCTTGGAATTTCAAGTTATGGTTGTATAGCTTTGTGTACAGAAAAAAAGGGTAACATGAAGCTGAGTCAGTTTTATTATCACCTTGGCTATAGAATATATAAGAAAGATGAAGTCATTTGCATAAAGGTACAGCACTGAAATGTTATGTTGTTTTTATTTTACATTTTTAAAAAAACATGCAGAAAAGCCACTTTAAATTTCCTATTAGAGCAAGGTCTAGTACTGATATTGAGTTCATGTAGTTGCCCAGTGTGCACATTCATACATATTTTATAGTATAATTTGCAAGGTGATTTTTTTTTTCCTTTTTTTGATGGAACTGGGATTCAAACTCAAGACTTTGAGCTTGCAAAGCAGGCACTCCACTGCTTGAGCCACACCTCCAGTCCAACAGCTGATCCCTCTTGCGCTAAGTTGTAGTTGCCAGTACTTCTCTCTTCCATGTTGGCCCTGTTGACTCACCGCAACTAGGAGCCTAGTTTCTCTGTCCCTTAGGGTCCATTACTCTCACTTGGTAGAAACCTGGTATCTTAGCCCATTTTGTGCTGGGTCATTTGTAATGATTAGAAATTTATTGGCTCATAGATCTAGAGGCTGGAAAGTCTGATTTCAAAGCATCTGGACGGGGCCTTCATGTTATAATAGCATATGGCAATTTTATTTATTTATTTATGTTGGCAGTACTGGTGTTTGAACTCAGGGCCTCATACTTTCTAGTGTGTTACTACTAAGCCACTCTGCCAACCCAGCATACAGCAATTCTCAATACTATTGGTTCCCATTACTTGGCATCTCTTAATACTATTAGAGTGGCAGTTAAACTCCAACATGAGTTTGGAAGGGACAGACATTCAAACCACAGCGCCTGGAAGCCATCTTTGCTGTGTTCTCCTGGACTCTGAGAGAAGAGGTCACCAGCGTTATTCCTGCCTCCTGTTTGTGTGACCATCATAGTTAATGCTTTTAGCAATCAGCTGAAACTGCTTTTATACTTATTTTGCAGATGAGAAACTTAGGCCCAGGATGATATTTGTTCTGATTATGAAAGGTTTCTTCACAAGTAAGGGCCACAGGCTTCAGATGTGGCTGTAATAGGCTGCATAGTCAGTATGCACGGTACTGAGTACAGCTAGTGCTGTTCTTCATGATACTGGTAATTGTAAGTGACCAGTTATACCTTTGCAGGGAAGGCCTGGTAGTTGTTGTAGTTGTCTGAGATACCATGTAACATGAATAAGAAAAAGAACAGGAGTGAACTAAAGTTACTGCTCATCTTCTGCTCTGCAGTTATGGTGTTAGTTAATTAGGTCTAGGGGAACCTCTGGTCCACATCCAGGGCCTTGTGAAGTGACACTAGAAGCAGTTGAGAGGAGATGTATTATCCGTGTTAAAATGGAAACAGAGCCTTCTTCAAAGGAAACTTTGCAAGCTGTGGAGGCTTTACTTGGTATGCAGTGCCTCCTTCCAGCAAGCATCTTGGGATGTATTTCTGGCAACTGCCACTATCACTGAAAAAGAATTGGGTAGATCAAGAAGTATCTCCTTATTTAGACTGGTTTCAAAATATATTTTCTCATTATTATTAAAACGTTAGTCTGCCCATTATTGAGTTCCTTGTATTGAGATTTTAATCTGCCCTTGTGTTCTGTTTCTATGTGCCAGACACTGAGTTTCTGTCCTGGTCAGTGACTTGCTATGTTGGACTTTTGTAGATCCCTGAATCATACTGCCCAGTCTCTGTGGAGATTGATATTTGAAACCTTGGATGCTCTTTCCTTTTTTGGTTTTTAGTCCTTGAGTACCAAGATATGTTCCCTTGTTTATGTGCCTATTTTTATCTTTTTTTTTTTTTCCCCTTTTAATCTAACACCATGACCTTGCCTAGAATCCATCCTGGCATTCTTCTGAACAGAGCCTTGGGGCTTTTGAAGTGTTGAAGGATACCACTAAGATCGAACTCATTAAAATGCATATCTGTTTGATAAGAGCAGTTGCCAAGTTTTATATCCATATTTTTCAAATAATCTTTGTTGATTTTCTTTGTGTGCTACTCCTTTCATGTGTTTGTGAAGTTCGAGGCAGTCTAAAAAATTTGCTGAATCATTTGTATATTAACTTTAGTGATAGTACATAGTCATGGATGTAGCTAAAAGCTATTGAATATTTACTACCTATTTTACTTATATCAGCAAGTTACAGAGTTAGTTTTTAGGCCACCACAGTTTTGAAGATTTAATTTATTACCTTTAGTTTTCTTCAAGTCTTTCAGTTCCTATTCTGTGTAGGATATTTACAATAAGTATGTGGGAAGATCTAAAAAAGTCTAAGGGCAATAAGACTTAAGTAGATGAGATGAGAGTGTGGAGAAATACTGTACGGGTCCTAGAGGCTTAAGCGTATCATTTATTCTGTTAAAGCTGATAGTTTTGACGTCTGATGATAGTAGCTAAGATTTATTGAGTGTTTCTACATGCCAAGCATTTTATATGTATTGTTTCACTTGAGTCTCATATGAAATAGGAATTTATGTGAGCCTTATTTTGCCCACAGGGAGGCTCTTTAAGCACTCACCCGTGGTCATCCAGGTAGTAAAGGCTGGCCTTGGGATTTAAACCTGGACAGTCTTGTTTCCACAGGCCCTAAATTGTCCTGTCACTGTGCACAGCAACTCTGAGACCTCCCATTCTGTGGTCTCCATCTTCCTCATACCTATCCACTCTTCTCATTGTACTCCATGTTCTACTTTATTGAACTGTTTGGCATTCTTAAAAGAGGACATTGCCTTTCCTTTTGGTCTTCCTCTGCTTTTTTGTCTTGGAACATGTTTCTACTCCTATCCTCTAAGGCACTAGCCTCCTTTTCCTTCCCTAAGATAGACTTGTTCCAATTTAAAGGATAGCATAATTTATATTTTTTGTTTGACTGGGGCTTCGTGCTTGCAGAGGAGGTGCTCACAAAGCAGGTATTCTACCACTTGAGGCACATCTGCAGTCCATTTTGCTTTGGTTATTTTGGAGATGAACTTTTTGCACAGGCTGGCTCATACCTTGATTCTCCTAATCTCAGCCTCCCAAGAAGCTAGGATTACAGGCATGAGCCACCAACCCCTGGCAGAGACATAATTTAATATTCTTTTTAAATAGCTTCTTTGGAAACCCTCCCTTGACCACCTAGTATGGATTAGGTTTTTATCCTCTGTGCTCCCCAAACATTCTACACTACATTATATTAGCTCTTAACAAACTGACTTGTAACTGAAAGTTTCAGCATTCATTAAATTGAATTTGAGCCCAGTGTCTTGATCTCTTGTCTTAGCTTATGGCCCAGTCACCTCCTTGGTGAATGAATGCTTTAGTGGGGGCATTTATCAATGTAAGTCAAAATGCAGGTGAACTGAAAGTTTATTTGAGGAGAATTAAGATGATCTTGTTATACTGTAGCTATTTGAAAACCAAGTAACTGCTTTTAGGGTTCCTCCACAGTGAGCCACCATTTAATTGAATTGCTTGTGCAGAGGTCTTTTTAGTAATTTAGGACCAATGACTAGTCATTCATCTTGTAGGAGAAAAAAATACTTTGTTGTTTTATTTTGTATTTCTACTGGAAGTTTCTTTTCCCTTTTCTATGTCTGTTTTACTGTCCTGGGCTATTAGGCCTTCCCAAACTTTGGTTGTTTTTTTTTGCGGTACTGGGGCTTGAACTCAGGGCCTACATCTTGAGCCACTCCACCAGCTTTTTTTGTGTTAGGTATTTTTGAGATAAGGTCTCACGAACTATTTGCCTAGACTGGCTTTGAAACGTGATCTGATCTCTGCCCTCTGTTTTTTTTTTTTTTTTTTTTTTTTTGTGGGGGGTTAGTAATTTTTTGTTAGGATTCCAAACAAGGTAGAAAGCAGCTGCAAGAAGGGTTCAGATAAGGGTGACAAGTAACACCAACCAGGATTGGCAAGCTGAACCACTGCCAGAGGCCAAGTAGGAGCCCAGAACTGTAAGGGTAGGGGGGACAGTCTAGGGCAGTAAAGGGGGATCAGCGGATGGTGTATCATACATAGGGGACTTGGACGTGCTTGCCACTTTCGTCATTGCAGCACAGCACATCTCAAGCATCAGTGCCTGCACATACATGGTGGCCCGGCTTTCACTTCGACACATGGCTTAGAGTTTCTGTCATTGGCTGATTTAACCATTCCTTGAGCTTGGTGGCTGACATGAAGAAGGAATATAACATGGACACACCCTTGGACAGCATGGTGATCTCCAGTTTGTGCTCTGTCTTAAAGTAATCAAGGAACTGTTTGAGGGTCGTCTCCTCACTGTTAGGCTGCAGCCCCTGCACCTCAAAGTGATCCCACTCTTGGTCATAATACTGGTGATGCGGTACAGCAAGGGGCTCAGAAAAGCCGAAGAAGGGCAGGGCCGGGTTGAAACTGTTCTTGTATGAGTCAAGCTGTTGGTGCCCCTGTACTACCTTGTACAACTCCAGACACACAAGGCCAACCACAGCTGCTGTGGTTATGCCAATGACTCAGATGATCTTTCCTGCAGTCAGCTTGCTCTTGTGCTGGTCTGCAGGGGGAAGGTCATAGTTTCCTGCCTGGAGGTTAGATGCAGCAATAATGAAATCCATGTAGAAGTTGCTGTCATCATTCTTCTCAGTCAGTGGGGGACATGTTGAATCCAGTTAGCTTGTCTGGGCTAGGCAGTGTGGCCTTGAGCTCCTGTAGATGGCTGTCATCACCTGGTCAGAAACATGGATCTTGATACAAGATTTGGGAGTAAACTTGGGGACCTGCACAGACAGGAGTGTAGCCATAGCAGATCGGTCTTGAGAGCCAGTCAGCCCATAGGTCTGGACAAAAAGCTTGGCAGCAGCCATCACATAGTCCAGATGCAGGGGATTGTTGACATCAAAACTAAGTGGGTGTAGACAGCATTTGGGCCCAGACCAGTACGGGGCTCCCAAGCTTGTGAGCTGGTTGGGAGGGAAGTTATGTAGCAGCTGCCAGATGTTGTTAGTGTTCTGGGTATGCCAATGGTAGCAGGCCCAGATCGCGCAGTAAGCCTAGGTCTGTGGTCTCTGGAATACCAGGCTGTGCTGCACAGCCTCCAGCACCTGCAATGGCTGAGTACCCATCAGCTGCAGTGTTCGCTCCACAAACTGGGGGTCTGTGAGGTACTGGTTGACATTTTCTGCTGATTGCTTGAAAAGGCCTTCAGACTCATCCTGAGCCCACTGCAGAGTGTGCTCAATGGCATTGGGGACGTTTTTTAGGTTACAGGTGGGAATAGACCTCTCCGTTGGATCCTGGCTGGTGCTGTAGGACTCTGTCAGAAAGGGAATCACCACCTGCACGTTGTCGTTGGTGCCCAGGTTGCCTGTCTCCAGCAGCGGCTTCTGGTAGTATATGCAGCAGCAATCCACGTACATGTGGGCATCCTCCGTTGTCCAGGGCATTGGCTACGCTATCCAGGTTTTGGAAAAAAATCGTCACCATAGATGTACACAGTGTCAGGACCCACATGGTTCTGGTGGCTTGTCACATGGATGTGTGGGATTCATCTGGTGCACAGCTGCAGTGGCTGTATCAGACTTTTAACTTTGTGACATCCCAGGGCCAAAACAGAAACTGTTAGTTCAGATTTGATTTCTCAGTGGTGTCCATGTCTGTGACAATGATTTCTCTACCCTCCTCACAGCCCAGCCCAATCATATCAAAATTCTTGAGCAGCTCACAGCCAATGGTGCCCTGCACCCATTAAGAAGTACTTCTGCTTGCCCGGCTTCTCTTGCAGGTCTGAGCCAAATACAGCCACCTGTCCATCATAACGGTTCTGACGAGGTAGGCACTTGTTCTCTGTGAGGGCCTCTTTGTCCTCAGGGACACACTCAGGACATCAAAGTACAGCCACTGCATGATGGGCATAAACTTCCCAGAACAGGCCTTCATGACCTCCTGGGCAGCCAAGCCCCCAGTGAAAGTGTTTGTGGTCGCTAGATCCCCAGCAACCACATAGGCCAGTTTCCGAATAAGGTCTTCATCCAAGTTGTCCTGCTGCACTGTGGGTAGGGCTTGAGCATTCACAGCCTTTGCTAGGGCCACAACTTCTATTGCATACTCCTCCTTGTGAGGTCGAGGTGGCCGGTTGTATTGAGCACAGAATTGGTGCAGAGCCTGGAACCCAACGTACAGCTGGGCAGAGTGAGCAAACTTGGTGAAGTCTGTCATCACAAAGTCAAGCTCAGCCAGTGAAGCCGGCAAAGATTTAAAGCTAATCTTCGTAGGTACTTTGATCTAACTGACGATGCCCCCATGGATGTAGTTGGAGAAGTTGGAGGAGTCACAGATGCTAAAGGTGTGAGGACTCAGGACTTCGATCTCTGTGGACTGACTTCCATTGAGTTGAATCATGTCCTGTACTTCTGAAAAGGAGACAAAGTCGCCACTCTCAAATCCATGTCGGGCCTCCTCCAGGCAGGTAACCATAGAAACCTTGGTGACCACAGAAGCCATAGCACTGAGTGGCTGCTCCCCATTGGAATCTGTGGGGACCATTTCCTCTCCAAAGTCCAAATAGGCCTCGAGTGTCTGCCACCACCAGCTTGATGCCATGGCTGTGACAGAATTCACCTACTTGGAGCTGCTCCTTCAAGAGTGTTGGTGAGGACCATCACCTCGAAGCCATTAAGGAAGTCCTCAAAAAGGGGCCCAGTGTAGGCAGTGACAGGCATGTAGCTGTTGAGTTCAGAAGGCAGGACTGGAACACCTTGGTCCAGTTTTTAACTGATATCCTCCTCTGCAGGTAGAACTAGGAGGACAGGTCAGCCCACTGGGCAGTGCCCTGGTCATGTAGGGTGACAGCCTTAACCCTGCCAAGGATGATGTTCTTAACGATCTCCATGCCCAAATTCCACAGGCCCAAGACCAGGATGCTGGATGTCTGGAGCCACTTCATTGTCTCATGGCCCAACATGTACAGATGCTGGGAGTAAAGACCCTCATCTATGTCTGCTTCGCTGCTGTTCTTTGCCATTCCATTGCTTGGCACTGAGGACACTTCGAATAACAGGGACTGGGCAGGGGAGCTGGGATTACAGATGTGAGCCGCTGGTGCCGACCCAAACTTTGCTCTTGAATGGGACCTACCTAAGAGATCTCTCCTGTGTACACTTCTGAAAAGTTAATCCTGTCCTGTCTCTGGTGTGGTCAGTTTATTTGTGAAGCTTCTGTGTGAAGTCTCAGTGGAACTCTGGTGTCTCCAAAATCTTCATTCAGATTCCTTACATGTTACCTGACTATAATGTAGAAACTTAGATCCCTTCATCTCTAATTCTTAATGTTAGTTTATCAGTGAGGGTGGTCCTCCTTCACTCCTTCCTATCTCTTGAGTCCAGTCACTTTTCTGTGTCGCCTGTTACCACTGTAGACCATTACTGTCATCATGTCTTGCAGTAACATCTCTCTGAACCCACACCAGGTTGCCTCTAGCCTGTATTTCTCCAGACAAACAAGAATGATCTTTTTATATTTCAGAACTGATCACTTATTTACAGGGAGGGAAGTGGGTAAGTGCAATTATGAAAGGGCAATGGAAAGGATCCTTATAGTGAGGACACTGCTCTGTATCTTGTATTCCTGCTGATAACCTGGTTACAGTATTGTACTACAGTTCTGAGAGATGTTACCAAGGGGGAAATGGAGTAAAGGAGAGGCAGGGATTATTTCGTTTATATAACTACATGTGAATCTACATTTATCTGAATAGAATTTCTGTGAAAAAAAAAAGATTATCCTGTTTAGAATTTCAGTTTTTTCCTTCTCTTTGCATAAAGACTACAGATCTGACTATGTTCTTCTGTGACTGACATCTGGTGTACTTCTCCAGCCCTGTGTATTTAATACTACCTTCTTATTAACTGTCACTTACCTTCTTTTGCTATCTTTCACACGTCACGCTCTTTTTACATCCCTTCTGCACACTTCTTCTATCGAGAAAGTTCTTCTTTACATTCCTTTGGTTACTTCCCTCTTGTCCCTTATCCATTTTCATTTCTGAAGAAAAACCTTTCCATTGTCTGATTATCCAGACTTATGTCATATTCTTGTCTTAGGAGCTCACAAAATATCCGGTCTGTATATAACTATTCTGATTTGTTGGCATACATTTTATGTGTGGTTCTTTTATTTATATATGTCTTTTTTTTTTTTTTTTACCAGACTTCATGGGGGCTGGACCTTTGTCTTTATCCTTAAAACACAGTAGTGTGTAACAAGGACATGGAAGACATGAAAGACACTGTCTTTCTCTTAGTTCTTGCCCTCTTATTGGTGTCTCTCAAGGATTTGGATTCATGTATCAGGAGAATGAAGTCCTAATCCAGATATATAACTTATGCTTTCTTCCTAGATTGTGAGTTTGAATTTCTCTCTGATTGTCTAAAAATAAACTTTTCAGGTTACAGGTACATTTGTTGGAGGATGGACAGGGCATGATTGAACTAAGTGAATGCTCTTGATCCTAATGGCTAAATCTACTGAAGAGCCATTTCAGGCTTTGGTTTGCTTATCTTTGGTGGATTGCCACCCTTGAATTTGTTGGGTATGTGAGGTTAATCTGGAGTGAAATTACATTGGCTTTCTGAAGGGTTGTGACTTTTCATTATCTTGGCAGAATTCTCTGTGGTCAAAGTAAGTATTGACTTACTAAAGTAAGGTTCTAGCCATGTGAGTGTGGGTATGTGATTTGGTGACTAGGAATGGCAGGTGTTCTTTAAAGTGTGGATAGTAGAATCCATTCTAGCTGGTATAAATAGAAGAGGTTTGGGTTAGCATTTAGAAGTTTTGCATGCACATGTTTTGGAAGGGCCAGACATTTAAGCTCGGCTTTTACATAGACAGAAGCAATGCAATCAGGAGAAATTTTCAGTGACACCAAAGGACTATTTGAGCAGAGGCTATGACTGCTGCTGCTTGCTCTGAAGTTATAAATCAGATATCAGAATTCCTGGAACTTTTGCTAATTTGCTGGATAAAAACCGTGTGCTTCCATGACTGTTTAACATGAGAACTGTGTGGCTTTCAAGGTACAGTGTGACACCCTGTCATTATGCCATGCACGGTCTATGTGCTTGGTAGAAACATGAGATTTTTTTTCTGCAAGGAAGACTCAGAAATGCAGCCTTTGCTTTCCAGCTTCTAGTGTGCAAGAAAATGTACTAGAAGCTAGTGTAGTATGAGCTAGTCTGCTATAGCAGGTCAAAGATTGATCATTCCAGACAGATCTCATTTGCCAGTCAATATTTTATTTGAATGTAGTAACATGAGAACATACAATGATATTCTTTTAGATTTCTAAGTGGTAGATTTTTGTTTGTACTGAGTTATTTACTTTGTAGATTTATGTAGTTTTGCATAATATCCATGTATTTGCTTGTTCATTTGTGGAATGTTATAACTGAAAACGCCAAATGTGGGCTCTCACATACTGTACTACAACTTAGTAGACAAAATAGAGTAAGACAGTTCAGGAAGCTTTCATACTTGGTGTGGCAATGTTTATCAACAGAAGAATGCATTAAAAACAACCTGTGGCTAGGCACAGTTGCTCATGTCTACAATCCCAGTTACTTGGGAGGCAGAAGTTGGAACAATTGTGATTTGAGGCCAGCCTGTACGAAATGTTAGTGAGACCCCATCTCAGTGAACAAGTCAGGTATAGTGGTACATGCTAGATAGGCGGAGTATGTAGGAGAATTGTGGTCTGAGGCTAGCTCAGGCAAAAATAAGACCCCATATGAAAAATAACCAAAGCAAAACAAGAAAAGGAAAGAAAAGAGAGAGCTGGAAGTGTGGCTCAAGTGTGTGAGACCCTGAGTTCAAATCCCAGTACTGCCAAAAAGAAAAATTGTAAAAAATACAATCCTGACACTTCAAATTCCTATATAGAAATTTGTATATAAAGTTCCCAAATGAAGAAGGTACACAGAAGGTCCAAGGAGTTACATCTGCTGATTTTCAAGCATTTCTTCCTCAGTGAAGAACCACTGGTCCAGGTTGAAGGGAGTGTGTGTGGGGGGTCAGAACTACTTTGTTTTTTGCCTGTTGAAAACTTAGGATTATGTTTAAATTTGCAGTAGTTATTTTCTGTTTTGTTCATTTGCTTTAAAGAGTTTTTAAAAAACTGCATTTTTTTTTTTTTTGTCTCCCACAGGGGCAGAATTACCAGGGCAAGTTATCTCCATGGCAGCTTCTACTCTAGCAAACTTGGCCATCTCCATCACAGGGTATGAGTCAAGTAGTGAAGACCAGCCCTCCACTCGGCCTCCAGGTGATTGATGCTGTGAAGGCATTCAAAATTACTTTGGAAAATGAGGTGTAAATACAGAATTATGAAGGATACCGGCATCATAAAATGCTACTTAAGCTGGTCCTTCATTTTTTTCTCTCTGATTACTGTTTTTTACATCTTTTCCCTCTCACTTTTGGCCTCATATATTACTTTTTAATGTGTTTTATCATTTGCCTTCTTGGGTTTCCTATCTTGGTTATTCTTCCACCCTCTTTTAAAAGTTGCTTTTCTTGTTTATCTTTTATTCTCTCACTTATGTTACTACTTTTTTTGGTGTCATATTTTTCAGTACCTTTCTGCCCTGTGCTTTCTCATCTCGGTTTCTCATTTTCTATTTCTTTTGTCTGCAGCTGTCAGTTCTCCTGCATTGCTTTATTTGCTCTATCTCTTCTGTTGTATTTTCTTTTCTTCCCCAGCACACGCTGTGTGTGTCTCTATTTCTCTCTCTCGTTCTTGTTCTTTTTTGAGTGGGAGGAGCACTTTTATTTTCCATGTTCTAGCCATCCGTTTCTCTCACATTCTTTCTCTTGTGTTTCTTCTAAAAGTTTGATTTGCATGCTGTATATTTCCCTAAACAGGTTCTCTGGCTTCTGGAGTCGCAGGTTCCTAAGAGATCCAGCTGATAGATTTGCCAGTTTTGGCCCATACTGTACTGTCACAGAGTTTAGGAATATGAAAGGCCATCTTGGTCTGTGCCGAAATGTACACTAGTGACAGGGGTATTTGGAGTTAGGGAACATTTATATTGAGCTCTTCTTAAAGTATTGACTTCAGGTGCTCACTAAATATTTAACTGGGACTGACTTCCCTGTTATTTCATAATTTTCCTAAGCAGCCACATGGTAGCCCCATTGAGTGCTGCATGATAATTTCCTTGGTGTTTCTTTTAATGTTAAATGTTTAGCTGTGAGTAAATTTGATGGCTGAGAAAATTTGGACCATGTTAAGTTAGCTCATCTCACTAACATTCTTCCCTGAGGTTCAGAGCTAAGAGTCAAACAAAAGACTTGTTTGAGTGTTCTGGGTTCCTGTAAGAGCATTTGGTTCTATTTTATGTGAAGTGACCTTGAAAGTCGTATTGTGTCAGAAATGCTTGTAAATAAATCTGAAATTCTATTAAAAGAGAAGGAGGTCTGGGGGATATAGCTCATTGGCAGAGCACTTGCCTAGCAAGCATGAGGCCCTTGGTTTGATCCCCAGAACTATAAAAACAGCAAAAAAGGAAGAATTCGTTATTTTTTGAGGGGTCATGGGGGTTGAACTCAGGGCTTTGAGCTTGCTAGGCAGGCACTCTACCACTTGAACTAAGTTCCCACCTCTTTTGGCTTTAGTTATTTTTCAAATAGGGTCTGATGTTTATGCTTGGACCTGCCTGGACTGATCTTCCTATTTATACTTCCTGCATAGCTGGGATGACAGGTGAACCACCATGCCCAACTTTTTGTTGGTTGAGATAGGGTCTTGCAAACTTTTTACCCTAGCTAGCCTTGAACCACACTCCTTCTGATCTCTACCTCCTGAGTAGCTGGGATTACAGGTATAAGCCACTACACCCGGCAAGAATTCTTAAATGTGGAAGTTTTAGTATGTGTGTTGTTGCTTTACATGGTTTTAATACCTTTTATGGATAAGTATAATTCTCAACTACTTTGTCATATTTTTTAAAATTTATTTTGTTTAAATGATATGTATATAATAGTCATAAAAATGTCAACAATATAAAGTAAAAATGACCCTATCCCTCAACCTTACGCCCCCTAACAAATTTAATTCTCTTCAGCAGTGTAATTCTCCACAAGTTTTTCAGTGCATGTGCAAATACTTAATGTGCTATATATACTATTAAAGTGTATTTTGAAGGCTTAAAGCAGGGTAACCTAACAAATTACTTTGTATTACTATTTCCTAATATAAGTCAATATGGTATGTAATATTTTCTTTCCCTTTTCAGAATCTGCGGACAAGGGAGGACCCCCTCCAACATTGTCTTCTTCTTCACCCTCTTCCCCTTCTTCACCCTCTTCCTCTTCACCCACTCTGGGCAGACCAAGGCCTGAAATTGGAACATTTCTCAGAAAGAAGAAAACTAGTGACATTTATTTTGTGTCTCTCAGCTGGGCCATCATTGCTGTCCAGGTCTGGCTGAACTTGTGGATCGTGCAGTTGCTGCCAGTCCCTGTTGCAGGTTGTTAGATGGTTAAGTGTGATCTTGTCTTGTCTCTGAAGACTTTTTCCTTCTTTTGTTACTATTGGACTTTAATACTTGAGTTAATTTTACTATCATTTAAAATAAGACAGCTATATATTTGCATTTAAGTCATGAGCAAACATTATTCTGAAGATTTATTACTTTGAAACTTCTTTAGTATTTCAGATTTAAGTTTGAAATACATTTAGCCTCATACAATTTCATGTAGTATTTGAGGTATCGAACTACTCCTCAGAGAATTGACAGTAGTTTGAGGGTTTATGGTTGAATTTTGAGAGATGTTCTTTTTGCTTTCTTTCTTTTTTTTTTTTAAAGCAGTTTAATTAGGAAGATGAAAATGACAGTATGCTAACTTGAACAGCTAGGTTGTATAAGGAAAGCTTCGAAAATTCCCTTTTTGATGTCATCCAACCTCCAAGGCAAGGTGCATTTATATGCTCCTTGTTCTTTCTTGAGACCTATAACTATATCCTAGAGTTGAGCAAAGACACATCTCAGTTTCCCTCAAGTCCTTGGGCTCCAGATAAGATAAGATAAGTGGATCTTTGAACCAACAAGCATGTTATTGACAATAGTACCTTGTAATGCTAGATTTTCTGTGGCATATATGAACAAGCTGCTCCTGAATCAGAAAATCAACTAATTAGCACTTTACCCCAAACTAGTCAAGCTACTGTAGTTAATGGACAGGCCAAAAAAGGCTAAGTAAATGGTATCTGTACCCATTTGCTGTACTTTAAATAGTTCCTTATGGAACAAGTACTCAATTGTCTCTCCAGTTACCCCAGTAAGAGCTGCTCTTAAGGAAGCACATTTTACATTGCATTTTTAATCCAAAGGAAATGTCAGCTTTGAGGATTGTATGTATGCAAAATCTTGAGTTTTCTAAAAAATCAAATTACAAGTATGTGTATATATATGCCCTCAAGTATGTGTGTATGTGTGTATATATGTCCTGTATTATATCAAAATGCTTTTCCATAAATCATTAAGTCAGGTCTTCATACCATAATACTGTACTGTGATTATTTAAGGCTCACCTCTATTGTATTGATTTTTGCTAAAGCTATCTTCTAAGGCTGGCAAGAGTAAGAAAGAATTTTCTCTGACTCAGGTGCATTATAGAAGCACAATTTTTGATACTTTCTGATTATTTAGGCTTTCCTCTTGTGATTTAGTATATGCCAAATTTATTAAGATCCAGGGTTCTTCTCAATTTGACTAGTCCTTATCTCCTACAGCAAGATTTTTCATCATTGATTAAAACACGATTTTTGGAAACCTGTTCTCTCTAGTGGCCCCCAAATATAAACTTATTTGTCCATTTACCTTCTAGATAGTTTTCGCCATTTATTATTCTAATTAAATTGGCCAGCTCATGAAATAGTTAACTATTATTTTGAAAATTTACTTTGACCAGAGCACTGTATAGTGTCTGCCCTCAGGGAACATACAATATAAGTAATCAAAGTTTACATCTTCTTCTTATGTCCTCATCTTGTAACAAGATACAGTTGTAATTAAGCAAGTCACAATGAAGCATTCTCTTAAGGGATTTACACAAATGCTCAATGAGACATAGTTTAAATTGCTTTTCTAGATTGTGCCTCTCTTTCTGGTTTTTGCCAGATGATTTCTTGCTGACAAATCATGTTAGGGTGCTATAGGAATTCTCTCTTCCTTAAAGTCTGTTAGTAGGAGATAGATTTCTTCTAGTCATAGCTCAATGTTCTGGTCATCAAAGGAAGTTGGCATGGCTTTGGCAGGGCAGACTGTGAACAGGTGACTCCTGAAAGATTTTCTACAGTTCATAATACAGTGGGAAACTGTAGGAACTGGAAGCTATAAGAACTCTAGAAACTATAGAAGCTTGTCTAGGGATTTAAAAATGCTAATGAAAGAATTGTTGAACTGGTATGTCAAACTGAACTCATGATTTAACATATTAAACTGAACCTTCAGGTTATAAGGTCAGGGCAAAGAACATAAATCCCCAGAGGTAGGGAAAACATAGAGGAGAGAAGCAGTTGTCCAGGTCCAGACTTCAAGACAAACCTCACAGATCAGTAACATTTTCTTCTGATCCCTCCACCTTCTTAGTTGGCTTTAATAGAAAGCTTAAGCCCTCCTTGAAGCGCCATTGCTCTGCCCAGCTCCAGAGGGAGACATTCCCAGTGTGATCTTGTAGGTCCCCCACTGAAATTGTGCAGTGCAAAGTCTCAGAGCCACTTGGCAGCAGTCCTGCTTGCACTCAGCTGGCTTCTCAGCTAAATCCCTGGCATTTGTTCAGATTTACAGAACAGCATCAAGTGACAAAAGAGTAACAAAGCTGAAAATGTTATCCTGCAGTGGTGGTATAAAATCATGATATGTGTGGAACACCTTATACTTTTCTGGTTGTTAATTACCAAACATCTAAGAAAAAGACCAAAACTTGGCAAGCTGTACTAGCCAAGGAGATTAGGAAAGTCAGGGGTTAGTTTTCTTTACTAAGGAAGGGGGAGGTGTGAGGACCATTGTAGTTACTGCAGTCTTCATGATAAGAGTGTCTTACATTTATGTGGACTGTAATATAATCCCTGACTCCTCCAAGGACTCAGACTTCACAAAGATGATATATAGGTAGTGGGTACGTGAAAAGTTACTTAGCCAGTTCCATCTGTATTGAATATTTTGAACTTTCCCCCTTCCTTTTTAACATTGATCTTTATTTTAATACTAGTTTTAGAAAGGAAAATTAAGGAACTTTTCCATGTTATACCTTTTTTTTTTTTTTTAACCTTCTTTACAGTCTGGATAATCAAAAAGCTTGTCATTCACTTTGGAGTTGTGAACTTCTTGGATAAACGCTGCCGCGTGTGGTGGCAAGTTATTGAATGCTTCCTGAAGGAGCGGCAGGAGGCTTTAGCACCATGGCCAATTATCGGGCTTGGAAAATTCTTGTTAAAAGTTGATAGCAAGGTATTGTAAGAGCTGGAACTTTTAATGGGGTTCATGTTTCATGGTTTGAAGTATTTGATTTTATAAAATTGTTGTTTTGTAACTGTTGATAACACATTTTCTATTTAATTCTACAATGAAATTTTAAAGTTTGGAATTATGGTTTGCATATGGATAGAATGGATTCAGTTTAATTAAGCATTGTGTGCTTTTTCTCTTAAAAATGGGAGAAAAGGATTTTTACAAAAGACCTAGTTTAATTCCTAGACTTCATTAGGACCAAACTGAAATCCAGGGAGGTTAAGTGGTATGCTTAAAATTAGGTAAGTAGGTAGTGCTCAGTTTAGTGAATAGTTTTGGAGTAATTCCTATTTGTCAGATATTGTGTTAAGCTCTTCGGAAAATCAGTTTAATCATAGAAGCTGTGTTTAGTGGGAAGAGGCAGCAATTCATGAAAACTCAGAAGGCCTAGGGCTTAAAACACACAGACATTAAATCTAAACTCTGACTTCAGATCTCAGGTCTGCTACTTCCTAGCCTTTTCACCTTGGACAGTTTTCTTAACTTCTTTGTGCCTTGGTTTCCTTATTAATAAAATGAGTATACTAGCACTTACCTCATAGAATAGTTGGTTGGGTTAAATGAGTTAATATATAGAAATTCCCTATGTCAGTGACAGTTGTACTCTATGTGTCAGCTGTTGCTATAATTTGTGTAGGGAAAGTATATGTGGGATACATGTGTTTGAGCAAGAAATGCCTTGTGTTGATACGGGGTGGTGGGAAAAGGAAGCATCACAGAAGAAATAAGGCCTGATCAGATTTGGAAGCACCAGTAGGAATGCAAAGGCACTGCAAGCCTGCATACATTCAGATTATTTTATGTATTTTAAATTGTTGAATTACCAAAAAAAACCTTTGTGGTTATTATTTCAATCATTGTTTATCTTAAAGAAATACTATATTCTCCTGATAAAATTTTTAATGCATTGCTTTTTTCCCTCTAGTTTTCCCTGACAGTTTCCTTCTCATACTTAGTGACTTCCTTTTCTTTTCATACTGTTACTGCATTCTCTAATGATATGCCACTGTTCTTATCTTCTCTTTCTCATCTTACCCCTATCCTCAAGCTCTGGCACTGGCTAAATAAGAAGGTAAATGCACTTGTGGATGTTGTTTTTACTTTTGAATTCTGCATCTCTGTCTCCCTGCTACCCACCACTATCTCCTTTCTCACCGTGTTTCTGTCCATATATCAAACTAAACTTCTGTTTATAAAATTATATTTATAAGCTATGGAAGGTCATGAAGCATGAATACTGACAGTGTAATTCGCTAAAACCTCATCAAAGCCTATTAGGATGTGATGGCATTTCTTTGCTCAAGTATTTGTAAGAGGTTCTGTCTTATAGTCCTATCCACTGTAAGTGATTTGTTTCTTTTTTCTATAATGTGATGATAATGTTTCTCTCTGCCTCTCTCTTTCTCTTTCTGCTAGACAAGGTCTAGTTATGTAGCTCAGGCTGGTCTTGAACTCACCATCCTCTTGCCTTAGCCTCCCAAGTGCTGTAATTATAGGCTTGTACCACTATGCCTGACTCTAGTTTCCTTTGATGTGTGAAAAACGCATTAGGCAGTAGTTACTGTATAGGAAAGAGGACTTTTGCTACTTTTTCTGTAAATGACAAAGAAAAAATTTAAAAACTGACATATTTGTGTGGTTTCCTTAACTGTCCATTTTTATATATTCTCTTTTTTTTGTTAAGTAGCATTTGATAACTTTATTTTTAACTTAGACAAACCTGTAGTCATGGCCTCTGACATGTAATTTTGTGTGTTTCCTGGTGTGAGGTTTTGTCTTTGGTAGCTGCTTCCCTTGGTTGGCATGGAATTATAATAGGTACAGTTCAGATAACTTCAGTAAGGATAATCCTTATATATTAGGAATGCTGTACCTTTATCATATAGTCCAAATATAATAGTGTTTGAGTTACTTTCAACAAATCCTCAGGACAGATAACAAGAGGTGCCATTGTTTATATGTATTACTGTATTATATCTAAGACTCAAAATCTTTGGTGAAAATACTATAGCAGGCTTTAAGAAAGATGTGGTATTTCTTGAAAATAGATCAAAATCTATTATATTTTAAGAATTATTTATTTGGTGCTGGGTCTCATGCATGTTAGGCAAGTATGCTATCACTGAGCTACACTCCCAGCCCCAAATCAGATTTTTGAATATAGAGATTTATTTATTTTTTCTCCTGTTGAAATGATGGAAAAGGGAGACTTAACATCACCTGAAAATTTAACTTTGGATTGAAAACAAGCAGTGTGTAAAATACATCCTCTACAGTTTCCCTATACCCCATATGTGTGTGTGTGTGTGTGTGTGTGTATGTGTGTGTGTACAGTTGAGTACATTCCTTATAAAACTAGTATGAGTAAATGAGTTTAATCCTTGGTAATTGATGTGTAAACATAAATCATACCTTATTTTGAGCAAAGTAGATGATTCTGTATATTTCTTTAATTTGTACATATTGAAATGAAATTGTCCTCATAAGGGAGAAAGGTGAACTGAACTCATTAGGTTTAACTTGATCTACCCTCAGTGGACTAAATGAATTAGATAACCCAATTTATAAGCCTAATACATAGCTGAATAGTTGAGTTAGTTTAAAAAGATTCCAGAGAGATCAAGTAACTTTTTTTCTTTTCTTTGATGATCCTGAAGCATATATAAAGAGTTGGAGTACAGCTGCTTGAAATTCTGTGTGTGTTGCAAGAAAGTGTAGATAAGTTCAAGACTATTTTGTTACATTACACTAAGGTCAGAAAAGTGCAACACTGGGTAATTTTGGTATATGAAGCTCAGGGGGAGTGAATTAGGGAAGCAAGAAATTAAGAGTGTGAGAGAGAGCACACATCCTGTGTTTAAGTGAAATGTTACTGCTGTTTTTCAGGGCTTATTTGTTTTCTCTTAGTAGTGATTATTTACACTAAGATTCAACTAGAATTTGGGTAAAAAATAAAGCAAAACAAAAACTGTAGGCTCAAATACCTAAATAGAAGAGAAACTCAGTGGAATGATACGTTTTGTCCCCACCCCATTATTTTTCCTTTAAAAATTTATTAGCATATATTAATTGTACAAAGGGATTCCATTGTGATATTTCCATACATACATACAATGTACTTTGATCAAATTTACCCCTCTAATGCTCTTACCACCCTCCCCAGTATGATACTTTCTTGATAGTTTGATCAATAAAGCCAGTTAATTTAGAAGTTTTGGTCCTAAGCACATGCTTTGCACTTAATTCTCACAAAATCTGAATTGAGAAAATTCTACCTTAGCTTAAATGTATGAAGTTAGATTTTTTTTTTTTTTTTTTTTCGGTGCTGGGGACCGAACTCAGGGCCTTACACTTGCCAGGCAAGCGCTCTTCCACTGAGCTAAATCCCCAACCCCTGAAGTTAGATTTTTTTAAATTAGATTTTGTAATAACAATGTACGTGTTTGTGAGTATTCCATGTTTTATACTCAGATATAAATACCCAGATACAAAGTTAGGTCTCTACTTTTTAAATAGAGCATAATTTTCATTTAAAAGTACATTTCAGGATATGACTTTTCTAAAAAAGAAAAATCACCTCCTACATTATTTTCAGAAATTATTTGTGGATACAAATAAAGTCATAATTCTGAAATTACTTGTGCTGGTTTATTCAAGTTTGTATTAATTGAGTGCCTGTTGTATTTTTGGGTACTGCTTGGTTTTGGAGTTACAGGGAGAAGTCATGCAACCCTAGCCCCTTCTTCAGGAAGTTGACCTAGGACCTAGGTATTCAGCTGGTTTTTGATTGCAAAACTTCTCATTTCCTTGATTTGAGAATTTACCTTCAAAATAAGAACTCTGACCTTCCATAGCTTAGAAACCCGCTATTCTTGTTTTTAATCACTGCGTTGTCTTTGATGCTTTGGTCTTCCATGCTTTGGTAGCCTGCACTGAAACTTACTCTTGTGTTTGAATTTCTGATTGTCAGGATTACATTTTAACCTTTTGTCTTTCAGTTCATGATAGCATTGATCTCTTAGTGACAGTGTGCTCATGACAGAGGGGGACAGACAGCAAGCTATAAACATCTAGTGGAAAGTAAATGCTTTAGAAGTTGGTGGTTTGTTTTAAGCAAACATTTTGGAGAGCATAATCCAAATTTAAATTGAGAATAATTTAGCAACATTGTGGCTCATGTTACGGTGAGGGGTGCAATGTGGTGTTTTAGCAGTTTGTTAATCTAATTAAATGTAGTTTTGAAATGTTAAGTGGTAGCTTTGCATAGCAGGAATGGTAGAAAACGATAAGAACTATTATATGTCCTGAAAACTAATTAAAATGTAGGGTTATTTGTGGTTATAAAAAATGATGAAGTTAGCCAAGATAAATATTAAATAGCATTTTGTATTTTAATTTTAATTATTGATTAAAGAACACCCACTACATTGGTGATTGATGTACATTTATTTAATAATAATTATGTCATAAAGTTTATGTTATTACAAGAATAGAAACTTTAGTTGGAATATCAGACTTTTAAAAATATTATGAAATATTTTAAACTTAAAAAGGTTTAAAGAACCCTCATTCACTTACTCCCAGTCTTGATAAAACTACCTAACTATCTGTGCATCCACCTCTCAATCCCTTGGGAACTATTATCCTGGATTTGCTATTTATCATTGTCTTGACATTAGATCTTTATTATTGTTGTTTTTATAACCCTAATGAAATCAAAAGGAGAATGCTTTTGAATGTAATTGCTGTTTTAATTGGCTCCTAATTTACCTTAGGACATACTGTACTATAAGGAGTGTACTTTTTCTAAAGTCATCTGTATTTGCTGAATGACAGTATTTCATGAGATTTTCTGCCCACTAATGAATTGTCATAATTTTGTTTAGACTATTTTTCAGTCTAAAAATTTAATTTGAATTGTAAATGTACCACAGTATGAGAATTCAAACCTAGGTGTAGGTTATGTTCCAGTTGACTACCTTGTCTTAGAACTCTTCACATAACAATAGCAGTAATTAATACTGTTAGATAATATTCTAAACTTGCTTACAGCTTTTGCTGCTTTAATCAGTATGCTATAGTTTGCTTTGCAATGCTAAATATTCTATTTAGTCTTCATGATATTGAATAAGTTGTACTATAAAAACAAGTAATTCTCCTTTTCATTTCTGTGCAGATGATCATCTGGTTGGAGAAGATGTTAGATAAAATAATTAGCATTTTCATCATATTCTTGCTAGTAATAGGAACCCTTCTTTTAGCCCTTCTTCTGACTGCAAAGGTAAATTATAATAATTGCTATTATATTAATTACCACTAATAAACGTGTTACTGTTAGAATTATAGTACAAATAAGAAGCTAGCAGAAGCAGCATAGAAAATGTTACTTGACTTACAAGTAGGTATAGCCACTTATGTATTTATGTGTGTATGTATTTAGGATTTGCACGTTACTAAATTTGCCTAGTATGTTTTCTTTTTAAATCCTTTTACATGCATTTTAATTTTATTGTCAAATTCTTTAGGACAAATGCAGATGAAAAAAAATGAGATACTGAAAAATTAGTGGCTTTTTAAAAATAGGAGGATTATGAACTGATCTCATGACTCTTAACCTAGGGAGTACCCAATTTAATAGGTTGGATTGCCTTTTTCTTTCTCTTTCTCTCTTCTGTTCTGCTCTCCTTTTTCTTCTCTCTCTCTTATCTCTCCCCCCTGTGTTGCCTGGGCTGGCCCCAAACTCCTGGGTTCAAGTGATCCTCTTGCCTCAGTCTTCTGGCCTCAGAATTAATCAGCTCTTTCCCTTCTTGTCTCATTGATCTTTCTGCTAGCACACCATAGTATCTTTATTTCTTGCTTTTCAGGTCCTTCCAAATAATGTTTCGTATCTCCATTTTCTTCTCATTAATGAAAATTCCCCAAAGTATAATTAAAATTTTGTCTCTATAGTGATTTTTTACTGACTTTCAGTTTTCTGGACTTCTTTCTCTTTTTCTCTCCCCCTCTCCCATTTCCTCCTCTTTCCCCCTGCCCTCCTTGGCAGTACTGGGGTTTAAGCTTGGTCTTATACTTCAGTGCTAGGCAGGCTCTATATATACTCTATACCACTTGTGCCATGCCCTCAGCACTTGTTTGCTTTTAGTTATTTTATTTTTTGGATAAGGTCTCATGTTTTTGCCATTGCTAGCCTTGAACCAAGATCCTCCTGCCTAAACCTCCTAGTAGCTTAGATCATAGTCATGTGCCACCGAGCCTGGCTTGTCGGTGGAGATGGGGATCTCTCTTAACTTTTTGTCTGGGCTGACCTCAAACCGTGATCCATCATCCGATCTCTGCCTCCCTAGTATATGGGATTAGTTTTTTTGGACTTTTACAGTGCATTTTAATCTTTATTTTATCCAAACTCTACTTAACTCCACTCCCAGATTTTGGTGCATTGTTTTCAAGGGATTGTGAAGCTTACATGAAATAGTAGATAACAACATTTTTCTGATAGTCTTATAGAGATATATTAGTAATGGTCATATAGGTAATTTAAGGAATTGCATTGTTTCTTGTTATGTGGCATCTCTATTTAGGAGTCCTATTCTTAGACAATGACAATCTCACCCTCATTGTTGTCCTCAAATTTATCTTACCATTTGCTCCTAACAGCCTGTTCTCTTGGCACTTCCATTTGAGTCTGTGCAGTTCCTGCATGTTCTCTGGGTGTCAATCATGTATCGTCACTTATGTTAAAGTATGGACTTCAGAGACCTTTCTTTGTTTCTGTCATATTTTGCCTCACGCTGCTATAATGCAATCTTCTCTTCTGTTTTTAGAGAAATCTTTGTCAGTAGGGTATTTCTTTTTCCTTTCTCCCCTCTCCTGTAGTTTTATTCCGCTTTTCCCTCCGTCCCTTTGCATGGGGTCTTTTTGTCTGCCATCTCAATTATGCTCATCTTTCAAGTCCTTTTTCTTTGTTCCTCCTATGCTTCAGTGAGGTTTTGCCTTCCTGAACTTTGATAATAGGTATCACTCAACCATTTCTTTGTTTTCTAGGGTTTGTGCAAACTCAGCTTTCGAATGGAGTCTTATTGGTTATTTAGTTTGTTCTTTGGCCAGTAAAGGTATTTTCCACACCACACTGAAATGTAACATACCAAAAACTGACTTGCAGACCCTTTCACTTACCTCTTCTCATAGTCTTCCCATTTTGGTAAGTGACAACTCCATTCTTCTGCTTACTCAGATGAAAAGCCTCAGGGTCATCCTTGACTGCTCTCTCTGTTTTGTATCCATCCACATCTAGCTTGCCAGAAAATTTTTTTTGGCTCAGCCTTGCTAATTTATCCTGGGATAATAGCAGTGTGAGAGCTGGGTGCTGGTACCTCATGCCTGTAATCCTCACCACTCTGCGGCAGAGATGGGGGGATTATGGTTTGGAGCCAACCTGGACAAATAGTTCTCGAGATCTTATCTTGAAAAAAACCCAACACCAAAACTGGGTTGGAGGAGTGACTTAAGTGGTGGAGAGCCTGCCTGGCAAGCGTGAGACACTGAGTTCAAGCCCCATAGTGCTCTCCTCCCTCCCTCAAAAATTGCTCACATAGTTAGTGAAGTTGAAAAGTACTGTGAATTCTTTTTTACCTCATTAAAAGAACTTTAACCTTAAAAGCAGAGTTACTATTTACTTTTACATAAAAATCCATTTAAAAACACAGTTCATCTCTCATAGAAGGAAGTCAACCAATATTGGTCTAAAATTGGAAAAGTCAGTAATATCATAATAAAAATAAATAAGATAGAAATAAATAAAATAGCCCTAAGTGTTTTTTGTTTGTTTTTGCTGTTTGTATAAGGTCATTGTTTCTCCTAGTTCCTTGGATATTCTGGAAGTTTCCCTACAGAGAAAAAGAAAGGTAGACACAGGGTAGGAAAAGTAGGAAGTGGTTGATCTTTTTCTTGTGATATATCCATTTCTCTTCTGTGATTTCCATCTCTCCTCAGTCAGGAAAGGATAAAGATATGGGTTTCTTTTAGTAGACTTGCATATTGCATTTGACTCAAGAACCTCCTGTCTCAGCCCCATCAGCCCAGTTCAGGAGTGAGTTGTTAGGTCTCTTTGTTATGCTCCTGAATGTTTTGTTCATTCAGGGGATGCTGTGCTCCACGTGGTATCAAATTATGTTTCTTCCCTTGTTTAGGAGTCATGAGTAAAGTTTTGTTTTTCTTCCTTTCATCTGGTTTTTCCCTTTTGTTTGTTTTGAGACAAGGTCTCACTGTGTAGCCCAGGCTGGCCTCAGACTCATAATCCTCTTGCCTTAGCCTCCTGGGACTAAAAATGTGGTTTGTTCCTTTTTTTGTCCCCCTCATTTTGTTGGTTATCAGGCCAGGCAAATTCAGAGATGCAGTTCCAGGTGGCTTTTCTATATTCAAAAACCTTACTCAGTTGTTTCCTACAACATAATTCTTTTAGCTCACAATGTTGGTATTGTATACATGAGTATGCATACCTACATACAACATATCATGCATGTGTGTATGCAGACTGAGTATGTTTATGTGTACGTGTTAAGTATTTGTACATAACCATGTTTTTTCTTTAAGTAAATTGTTGAGCTTTTGTGAAGGCAGAGAGCTATTACTTGTTTCTCATAGTGTGTGTAAGACATCATATTTAGCAACTTTTCCGTGCACATTTCTAAATTAAAACCAAGATACATAATTATTTGACTCTAAAAGCAGTTATAATAGTATAAAAAGACATATTAAATTAGGTTTATTATTAATTGAGATTGTTTTCTCTCTTTATCCATAATATAGGTACATCAAGAGAGTGTACACATGATTGAAGTCACAAGTAATTTGATTAACGAAACTCTAGCAAATCACCCTGAGTGGGCAAAGTAAGAATATTGTTTTGAAAAAAAAATAGAGGTGGATGACCTTGTTTCAGCATCTGTTTGCATGAAAGGATTTTTAGCGATACAGCTACATTGGAAGATAAAAGAAAGGGTTTGCCAAAGCTTTGATGAGTAATACGATTTTCTTGCAGAAGACAAGTAGTATGTTTTCATTAAATAATAGGTTTATAGCTGGATTATATGATGGGATGGTGCATGCCTGTAATCCCAGCACTAGAAAACCAAGGCAGGAGACTGAGGTTTGAGGCCAGTTGAGCCCCTGTCTCAACAACAACAAAAAAGTTCAAACCACTACTGATTTGACATTCCTCTATTTAATTTATCCAAAAATCTTTTTTCCCCCTCTGTTTAAAACTCATTCTTTCCTGATATCTTGACTTTTGTGACTGTCAGTGGCAACTGGCTTTCTCTTTATAATATCTTTCTGCCCCCCTCCTCCCACACACACCTACATGAATGTGAGGCTGCTGAGTGGAGATTGTGCACATTTGACTTGTTTCTAACTAGCTGACTCCTTCCCATGGGCTAGCCTTGTAGCTTGGATCATATTTGGGCTTAAGGAAGATAAATGACCACTTTCTGCTGGCCTTTTGGCATGGTCAGAATAGTTAAAATCAGAAATTTTAAATTTGTAGCCAGATGCTGGTGGCTCACACCTGTAATCCTAGGTACTTGGGAGGCCGAGATCAGGAGGATCATGGTTCCAGGCCAGCCTGGACAAATAGTTCATGAGACTCTATCTCCAAAAAACAACCAGATCAAAATGGACTGGAGGTGTGGCTCAAGTGCCTGCTTTGCAAACATGAAGCCCTGAGTCCAAACCCCAGTCCCACCCAAAAAAAAAAAATTTCTAAAATTTGTGAATGTCATTATTTCTAGTGTATAACATTGTGATGAACAATTTAGAGAATATACAAAATATTCTTTCCTCTGGAAAGCATTGGGCCGTATGTAAAGGATTTTTGGTTGAGGTGTGTTGTGCAGCCTGCTTAGTTATAGGAAAATGGGGAGGCTGCCTGTCACTGCAGAACAAATAAAGCTTTTTGAGAACGGTTTCTTGCATAGCTGGAACTCTGTGTAAGAGTTCCTCACATTTTAAAAAAGATCGTCAATCGGTTAAAAAAAATACTGAAAATAATGAGTTTACCCTTTAGTTTTAAGCATTTTTCCTCAGTTTTTCACTTTCTTAAATCAGTGAATCTCAAACTTTAGCATCAGAATTGCTTGCAGGGCTTATTAAGATACAGGTGCTGGGCTTCAGCTCTGGAGTTTCTGTTTCAGTATGTCTGGGGGTGCACCTAAGCATTTTTCTCTCTAACAGGTTCCTCAGCAGTTCTGGTGCTGCTGACTCAGACTCACACTTTGGGAACCTTATCCCAGATGTTGAATATTCCAGAGTCTCAGAACCCTTTCTGGTGCTGAATTAGGCAGATGACCCAGGATATGTGTTAGACAGAGAAACCAGGTAGAACAGAATGGAAGGAGGCTAGGGATGGTGTGGGATAGAGTGGACAGGAGGAATGGGCCTCAGTGCTAAGCAGAGATGGAAGGCAAACCTTGAGAGTTAGAATTAGGTCACTTGGGTCTAGGCATCAGGGATTCCTGCCTATCAATGTGTATGTATCTGTGTGTTAATGATTTATCAATCATTTGTTACCATTCACTTAAGTACATCAAGTTTAAAGCCTTACCAGAAAGGGCACACTAAAAGTAATGTTTGTTTTGTTTTTTCATTTTAAATTAGTTGGCTTCCTGAGGCTCAGGTAGTCCAAAGAGCCCTGAATTCTGCAGCTAATAATGTGTATCAATATGGACGAGAGTGGATAACCCACAAGGTAAGGGAAGAACTTTTTTTGTTGCTTTCTCTTTGCAGAATCTTGCAAGGATTATAGGAATGTGCCACTGGTGCCTGGCTCCATATATCTTTTTTTGCACAGGTCAGCCTGGACTATGATCCTCTTCTTTATCCTTCCAGCATAGCTGGGATGACAGGTATGCACCACCATAGCCAGCTTATTGATTGAGATAGAGTCTTGGTAACTGTTTTGTCTAGGCTCACCTCGAATCAAGGCTTGCCTGGATCCTTTTTGGATTATAGGCCTGAGCCACTATGTCTGGCCCTAAGAGTGTGTGGGTTTTTTTTTTTTTTTTTTTGGGTGGTGCTGGGATTTGAGCTCAGGACCACTTGAGCCACACCCCCAGCCACCAAGAGTGTGCTTTAAGAAGGGTATTTATGTGAGGGAAGATGCAAAGACAGGACTGTGCTTGAGGAGATGACCTTACCTGATGGAGAGAGAGCTTTGTGAGGGACACGAAGACACACATGTTGTAGTTAAAAGATTAGCATCCAGGAACTGGATTTGGGATTCCCCATCCTTCTCCTCCCCCAATTGACCGTGATAAGGGTGATTTGCAGTTTAATATGCTGAAGTAATTAGGATCATGCAGTGATTGACAAGATTTGTTGTGCTAAGACTTATACCTAGAAAATTGTATGTGATTCCTTGTTCAAAATTCAAAACAAAATCCAACCTTCCCCCCAAGTTATAGAACATACTCATATATATATGCTAATCTGCTGATCTAAAGATGGAGTCATGGTCAAGCTAAAAGTTGGCAGAAAGGTGTGTTGATTGATTCTCTTGGCTCTGTCCCAATCAACTGGCACACATCGGGTCTTTTTTTTTTTTTTTTCTTTTATTCATATATGCATACAGTGTTTGGGTCATTTCTCCCCCTTCCTCCCTTCCCCTCCCTCTCCCCCTTGCCCCCTCCCACCCCCTCCCTCTCCCTCCCTACCCTCTTGCTACCAGACAGAAACTATTTTGCACTTATCTCTAATTTTGTTGAAGAGAGTGTAAGCAATAGTAGGAAGGACCAAGGGTTTTTGCTAGTTGAGATAAGGATAGCTATACAGGGAGTTGACTTGAATTGCTTTCCTGTACATGTGTTACCTTCTAAATTAATTCTTCTTGAACTAACCTTTTGTCTAGTTCCTGGTCCCCTTCTCCTATTGGCCTTTGTTGCTTTAAAGTATCTGCTTTGGTTTCTCTGCATTGAGGGCAACGAATGCTATCTAGTTTTTTGGGTGTCCTACCTATTCTCATACCTCCTGTGTGTACTCTCGCTTTATCATGTGATCAAAGTCCAATCCCCTTGTTGTGTTTACCCTTGATCTAATGTCCGCATATGAGGGAGAACATATGATTTTTGGTCTTTTTGGGCCAGGCTAACCTCGCTCAGAATGATTTTCTCCAGTTCCATCCATTTACTTGGGAATGATAAGATTTCATTCTTCTTCATTGCTGCATAAAATTCCATTGTGTATAAATACCACATTTTCTTAATCCATTGTCAGTAGTGGGGCATCTTGGCTGTTTCCATAACTTGGCTATTGTAAATAGTGCTGCAATAAACATGGGTGTGCAAGTGCCTCTGGAGTAACCTGTGTCACAGTCTTTTGGGTATATCCCCAAGAGTGGTATTGCTGGATCATATGGTAGACCTATGTTTAGATTTTTAAGAAGCCTCCAGATTTTTTTCCAGAGTGGTTGTACTAGTTTGCATTCTCACCAGCAGTGTAAAAGGGTTCCTTTCTCTATCCCCCCTTCCCCTGCATCCTTGCCAACACCTGTTGTTAGTGGTGTTGCTAATGATGGCTATTCTAACAGGGGTGAAGTGGAATCTTAGTGTGGTTTTAATTTGCATTTCCTTTATTGCTAGAGATGGTGAGCATTTTTTCATGTGTTTTTTGGCCATTTGAATTTCTTCTTTTGAGAAAGTTCTGTTTGGTTCACTTGCCCATTTCTTTATTGGTTCATTGATTTTTGGGGGAGTTTATTTTTTGAGCTCCCCGTATATTCTGGTTATCAGTCCTTTGTCTGATGTGTAGCTGGCAAATATTTTCTCCCACTCTGTGGGTGTTCTCTTCAGTTTAGAGACCATTTCTTTTGTTGTGCAGAAGCTTTTTAGTTTTATGAAGTCTCATTTGTCCATCCTTTCTCTTAGTTGCTGAGTTGCTGGGGTTCTTTTGAAGAAGTCCTTGCCTATATCTATCGCTTCCAGAGTATTCCCTGTTCTTTCCTATACCAACTTCAGAGTTTTGGGTCTGGTATTAAGGTACTTGATCCACTTTGAGTTGATACTAGTACAGAGTGATAAACATGGATCTATTTCAGTTTTCTGCAGACAGATAACTACTTTTCCTAGCAACATTTGTTGAAGATGCTGTCTTTTCTCCATTGTATGTTTGTGGCACCTTTATCAAAAATAAGGTGAGCATAGCTATGTGGATTCATATCCGGGTCTTCTGTTCTGTTCCATGGGTCTTCATGTCTGTTTTTTGTGCCAGTACCATGCTGTTTTTATTGTTATTGCTTTGTAATATAGTTTGAAGTCGGGTATTGTGATACCTCCAGCATTGTTCTTTTTACTGAGTATTGCCTTGGCTATTCGTGGCCTCTTGTGTTTCCAAATAAATTTTAAGGGTTGATTTTTCAATCTCTTTGATGAATGTCATTGGGATTTTGATGGGAATTGCATTAAACATGTAGATTGCTTTTGGTAATATAGACATTTTTACTATGTTGCTTCTATCAGTCCATGAGCATGGGAGATCTCTCCATTTTCTATAGTCTTCCTCAATCTCTTTCTTCAGAAGGTTATAGTTTTCCTTGTAGAGGTCATTCACATCCTTTGTTAAGTTTACACCTAGCACCTAGGTATTTGATTTTTTTTGAGGCTATTGTAAATGGAATTGTTTTCATATATTCTTTCTTAGTTTGTCCATTATTAGTTTATAGAAATGCTAATGATTTTTCTATGTTGATTTTATATCCATCTACCTTACTATAGCTGTTGATGGTGTCTAAGAGCTTTTGATTAGAGTTTTTTGGGTCTTTAAGGTATAGGATCATATCATCTGCAAATAGGGATATTTTGACAGTTTCTTTACCTATTTGTATTCCTTTTATTTCTTCTTCTTACCTAATTGCTCTGGCTAGGAATTCCAGTACTATGTTGAATAGGAGTGGAGATAGTGGGCATCCTTGTCTGGTTCCTGATTTTAGAGGGAATGGTTTCAGTTTTTCACCGTTAAGTATAATGCTGGCTGTAGGTTTGTCATATATAGCTTTTATAATGTTGAGGTACTTTCCTTCTATTCCTGGTTTTCTTAGAGCTTTTATCATGAAATGATGTTGGATCTTATCAAAGGCTTTTTCTGCATGTATTGAGATGACCAAGTGGTTTTTGTCTTTGTTTCTGTTAATGTGGTTTATTACGTTTATTGATTTTCATATGTTGAACCACCCCTGCATCCCTGGGATGAAGCCTACTTGGTCGTGGTGAATGATCTTTTTGATGTGTTGTTGAATTCGGTTTGCCATTATTTTGTTGAGGATTTTTGCGTCAATGTTCATTAAGGAGATTGGCCTATAGTTCTCCTTTTTGGAGGTGTCTTTGCCTGGTTTTGGGATAAGTGTAATACTGGCTTCATAAAATGTGTTAGGCAGTTTTCCTTCCCTTTCTATCTGGAACAGTTTAAGGAGGGTTGGTATCAGTTCTTCTTTAAAGGTCTGATAGAATTCAGCAGAGATTCCATCAGGTTCTGGACTTTTCTTTTTTGGGAGGCTCTTGATTGCTGCTTCAATTTCATTTTGTGTTATAGATCTATTCAGGTGATTAATGTCCTCTTGGTTCAGTTTTGGATGATTATAAGTATCTAGAAATCTGTCCATTTCTTTTAGATTTTCAAATTTATTTGAATATAGGTTCTTAAAGCAGTCTCTGATGATTTCCTGGACTTCCATAGTGTTTGTTGTTATCTCCCCTTTTGCATTCCTGTTTTTACTGATTTGGGTTTTTTTCTCTCCTCATTTTAGTCAGGTTTGTCAGGGGCCTATTGATCGTGTGTATTTTTTCAATGAACCAACTTTTTGTTGGGCTTGCTTTGTGCCCTAGGATATGATCTATTTTGGAGAAGGTTGCACGGGCTGTGTAGAAGGTGGATGAAATGTTCTGTAGACATCAACTAGGTCCATTTGATCTATGATATGTTTTAGGTCTATGATTTCTTTATTGATTTTTTGTTTGGATGACCTATCTGTTGATGATAATGGGGTGTTAAAGTCTCCCACAACCATTGTGTTGGAGTTAATACATGCTTTTAGGTCCTTCAGGGTATGTTTCATGAAATTGGGTGCGTTGACATTGGGTGCATATAGGTTGATAATTGTTATTTCCTTTTGGTCTATTTCCCCTTTTATTAGTATGGAATGTCCTTCTTAATCTCATTTGATCAATGTAGGTTTGAAGTCTACTTTGTCCGAGATAAATATTGCTATTCCTGCCTGTTTTCAGGGGCCATTGGCTTGGTAAATCTTCTTCCAGCCTTTCATCCTAAGCCTATGCTTATTTCTATCAATGAGATGGGTCTCCTGTAAGCAACAAATTGTTGGATCTTCCTTTTTAATCCAGTTTGTCAAACGGTACCTTTTGATGGGGGAGTTCAGTCCGTTAACATTAAGTGTTAGTACTGATAGGTATGTGGTGATTCCTGTCATTTAGTTGTCTTAGTTGTTTGAGGGTTTGATTGTGTGTACCTAAATCGATGTTACTGTCTACTTTCTTGCTTTTTCTTTTCCTGTAGTTTGTTACTGCCTGCCCTTTCAACACATCAGGTCTTCAAAAAATAGTATTTATTTAACAAGTAAAAGACAAGTCTGTGGTACAGCTCTCTAAACTGTCATTGAAGGAAGAGCTAGCCACTACAGAAGACTTTACAGCCTTCTCTTAATATGTTGTTTTGCTGAAAGCATACTATTTTATTCTGGTTTATGTATTTGGGAGAAATTTTTGTTCTGGAATTCTTATCTGTTTGAGAAAAGGATAAAGGGAATTTTGGATAGCTGAAAAAATGTCTTAGATTTTTTAAAAAGTAGATTTCAAATTATTTAAAGAAAAGAAACACGCATGAAACCTTTTGCTCAAGATTCTAAAAATAAAGACAACTGAACAGGGATGGGCATTATAACAAATGTTATAAAATACTTGTGGTCCTGGTTTAGAGGACAACAGGATAATCAACTGATGGATGGATCAATCAAAGGTGATGAATTTATATAACAGAATATTGCTTAGCCCTATAAAGGAATGAAGCACTGATAAATGTTGCAAATGATTAATCTTGAAAATGCACCAAGGAAAAGAAGCAGTCATAAATGACCACAGGTATATGATTCCATTCATATGAAATGTCAGAAGAAACATATAAAAAGAAAACAGAGTAGTGGTCTCCAGAGTAGTGGTCCCCAGAAATAGGGGGGTGTTGGAGAGGAATGAGAGGGTGAGTGCTAATGGCAGAGGGTTTCCTTTCAGGGTGATGAAAATATTTTAAAATTGTGTTGAATTCATGGCTTAATAAATGTAAATATACTAGAGACCATTAAATTATGTAATTAAATGAGTGAATTGTAAGGTATGTGAATTATATCTCAGTGGAGTTCTTAAGAAATAACCCATGGAAGCTGCAGATGTAACTTTCTAATGTGCCTTAGATCTTATTTAGCTAAGAATCATGTGTGAATTGGGTTGTAAGAACTCACGTCAAGAGAGGACTGAAGCTAGGAAAAAGTGCCATGTCCAGAAACGAGAGTTTTTGAGGATGTATTAAGGGCAGAGAAGATTCTGGTCTTTCTTTTCCTAGCCTAATTTGTCAGGCTTATATACTGTGTCCTTAGATGCTGTGTAGGCTTCTCAGTTGTCTTTCCTTGCTTGAGCTATCCTTTTCTGCTTGGGATGCCCATTTAAGAGTTTGTTAGAGATGCTGCCCTGGGACAGGATGTAATGTGCTGCTTTTGTGATCTTTACAACAACTCCAAGAGTTAGAAAATGGTTCTGTCAGCCTGGGAGTGCAGCTCAATGGTACAGTAAATGCATGAGGCCCTGGGTGCAGAACTCAGCATCTCACAAAAAAAAAAAAAAAGCGACATCCTGACATCTTTTTCTTTTAAGATAAGAAAACAGATTTTGAAAAGTGTCTATGAGAGGCTCAAGGTTATACAGCTAAATGGCAGTCAGGATTAAAAGTTCTCTAATGTTCTTTCAATTATGGCACATATAACCTAGGAACAAAGAACATCTCACAGAGCAAATTAACCAAAATCATTAAGAAAACCACAAATACCCAGTTAAATTTTACTTCCTTTTTTTTTTTTTTATACTCTGCAGTACTAGGGCCTGAATCCAGGGTCTCCTGCTTGGCAAACATTCTACCTCTTAAGTCATACCCCTAGCCCTTTTGTTTTTGTATTTTGTTTTATGATCTTACTAACTTTTCCTGAGTTGGCCTTGAACTAATGATCCCCTGTCTCTGCCTCCGGGTACTGGGATTATAACTGTGTGCCGCTATGCCCAAGCCATGGGAAAATAGAAACAGTTGTATTAAGGGAGTGGAATTAAAAATCATTGTCTTTTTAATATTACTTACTGTGTGTGTGTTGTGGGTTGAACCCAGGGCCTTGTACTCAGCTATGTCCTTAGTTCTACAAGATGATTTTAATAAATAAAGATGTAGGATAGGATAATGAATTTGAGATTCCCATAAGTCCAGAAGAAAGTCAGATTATCTCTCAATAAGCAACCTAGGGGAAGGATTTGTGTTTATAGCTAAGGTCCTAAATTTCACTTAAAGTTCTAATACTAGAGAAACATATAACATGAGACTTACATATAATAGATGGACACCCTGAGAAAATCAGGTATCAGTAAGCATGACTTCACTTGTACCATTTTCTTATAACCTGAAGTTGCTGTGTTAGAGAAAGAAGAAACAAAAAGATGAGAGAGGAAAGAGAATGTACTGGGAATATGGAAGAATAGTTTAAGAAGAATAACATAATGGCCCAGTGATAAATAAATAGTGTGTGGAACATTTTTGTTTTGTTGGGACAAATAAAGACCCAACAGGTATTAATCGTACTGAATTGTTTTCTAAAGTACTAACCAGATTATATCTGTATTTCTAGCTTCATAAAATTCTAGGAGATAAGATGAATAATACTGCTGTAATTGAGAAGCAAGTATTAGAGCTTTGGGACAGACTCTATCATTCTTGGTTTGTAAAGGTAAGTTATTTTAGTTAAATTTCTACTGTAGACTAACAGTGTCCTTTTACTTTATAGACTGACTCAAGAGGATTGTATTAACATTCAAATTCCATTTTAAACAGCAAGATCATAAGCCTCAGGTTACTAAAAGTCTGCCTGTGATGATGGTCCGTCTCTATGACACATCCTGTTAATCTCTCTGGTGTATCAGTATTCCATCCCCTGCTCACTATCATAGACAACGTCTTGTCTTCTAAAGTAGTTCTGTGCAGTAAAATGTAGTACAAGCCACATTTTCCATTTTTCTCAGGGCTGGGGGTTGAACCCAGGGCTTTGACATGTAAAGCATGAGCTCTACCACTGAGCTATATCCCCAGCCCCTGCAAGCCTCATGTGTAATGTTAATTTTTCTAGTAGCTGCATTAAATTACTAAAACAGATGTCATTAATTTTAATAATATTCTACTTAGTCTAATGTACTCCAAATACTATCATTTCATTATGCAGTCAATAGAAAAAAATTTAATGAGCTATTTTACATTCTTCTTTTACTAAGTCTTTCAAATCTAGTATGCATTTTACATAAACAGCATATCCTCAACATTTGGAGCTAGCCACATTTTAAATGCTAAGTAACCACATGTGGCTAGTTGCTACTGTTTTGGACAGTACAGTTCTAGGCATTAAGAGCCATCTCTTTTAAGGAGGTGGAAATACTAAAAGTTTAGAGAACTTTATGTAACCTTGTATGCTATTTATGTTTGTGTACTCTTCAGAGTTTGTGATGAATAATGATACAAAGTTTTACCCAGAGTAAAAATGTTTTTGAAAGCAGCTGGTTCTGCTGAGCCATGTTCTAAACCAGATCTGGTGGGCCACCAACAGCTGTGCTGTATGTACACTGGAAACACAACTGGTGATTTTCCCAGGGTTGATCTAAGGAGAAGAAGAACAGATAAAAATCTTTTAACTTGGAATGGAAGAGGATGGGGGGTGGACTTTGAATTTGTTGCTTAGTGACGTGTTTCAGATTATGTAGTCTTGCTCTGGAATGAGTAGGGAACAGTGTTTCAAAGACTGCAATTTAAAACTAATAAGAACATGTTAGGGTAGAATATCATGTATTTGATTCCATATGCTGAGGAACTAGGTAATTAGAAAGATCATATATCTGTTTCCCTTGTCACTTCTCAGGCTTCTTAACATACAGGTATTCCTTTCTCTCACTTCTTTTGAATCTCATTTGATGGTGGAGGAATATCAGAGTCTTAAATACACAGATCTGTACATGGTGAAGTATGGTTCTTTTACTCTTCACTGGCACCTAAAATTCTTCTGTACTGTATAATGGGATCAGTATCACTGCTCCATTTGCAAAAATGGGAGAGTAGAACACATGCAAAATGCTAAGAACTTACCTGTGAATTGTAACCTCACCAATCACTTTGTTTACTCATATCTCTTTCAAATTTGGTTATTCCTGTGTCTCTGCCTATGTAATTCTCTTCTGAATAGACGAATTAGATTTTTGTATGCTCTTTGTCATAGTCATGTACAGAAGATTAATATCGAGGAAAACAAAAATGGGAGATCAAGGAAAAGATTAGAGTAAGCTAGGTGTGGTGGCTTACATCTGTAATCCTAGCTACTTGGGAGGCAGAGAACAGGAGGATTGCTGTTTAGGACAGCCCATGCAAAAAGTCTGCGAGACCCCATGTTAACCTATAAAAAGTGGGCATAGTGGTACACGCCTATCCTCTCAGCTATGCAGGATTCATATATAGGAAGATCACAGTCCAGGCTGGCTGGGGCATTAACATGAGATCCTATCTCAATATCTAAAGCAGCTGAGTGTTGGTGTCTTATGCCTGTCATCCTCACTACTCAGGAGGCAGAGATCTGGACAATAGCGGTTCGAAGCCAGCCCAGGCAAATAGCTTGCAAGGTCCTATCTTGAAAATACCCAAGACAAAAAAGGGCTGGTGGGGTGGCTCAAGTGGTAGAGCACCTGCCTAACAAGCATGAGGCCCTGAGTTCAAACTCCAGTACCACCAATAAATAAATAAAATAAGAGTAACTAAAGCAAAAAGGGATGGGGATGTGGCTCGAGTGGTAGAGCATCTGCTTAGCAAGTGCAAGGCCCTAACTTCACACCCAGTATCACAAATAAATAAATAGTGGAGTTAATGCTGTGTTAGTATACTGTTGTATAAGTCAAGGAATAGAGTATGTTCAAACATGTATTTGGGCTTAGACATGCACCTAGCATGTAAATGAAAAAATGTTCTATTTTAGATTTTCAGATGGAGTTCTTAGTTGATTTCTTAAATACTACAGGGTTTTTCACCTTCAACTACTTACCTAAGTGCACAAGTGGGACCTAAAGCAAAATGACATTTATACTTTGCATTCTTTAGGTTAAGACGGAAATTTCATGTCGAACTGTTTTATTCCATAGAATGTAACACATTCTGGAAGGCACAAAGGACACAAGATGCATATAAGCCGTCAGAACAGCTGGCTGGGAGACATTTTGGACTGGCAGGACATTGCGTCCTTTGTTCATGAGAACATTGAGACATTTCTTTCGGTAAGACAGTATTTATTGCTAAACTGGACTTAAAAACAGAAACCAATTCTGGTTTTTCCTTATACACATTGAGGTCTTCAGTTACTCTGTTTTTAATACCATGACATTTATAGGTTTTTGAGAACACTGCCTGCACTAGAAAGACGTTCAAAAGCCACAGTCCTAGGGTATGGCTCCCTGGGACTTGCCTGGTTAAAGAATAACTGCGAGGTACTGAATCCTGAAGCACGTGGGCGTTGCTGTGGGCTGTTAGGTCCTCAGATAGGTATCTCCCTTGTCCAGGCCCACCACAGCGTCCTAAAGTCTATAGAGACATGGTTCCAGTTATATTAGAGAGACTGAATGTGTCAGGCTTAGCTTGATAGCTTCCTTCTTGCTTTCCCACCACACAGTATCCACTGTGCAGTCTTGTAGCTTTGCCGAGTGTAAATTACCACTCTTCCTCCTACCACAGTGGACTTGGTGAGGTGTCTTAGTGTGTGACTTTTCACAGAGATGAGAAAAATTTTCTTGCGCATTAACTTGTGACTTTTATCAAATTAACAAAAATTGAGGTTTGCAATGCTAAGTTTTAAAAAAGTTTAAGTTTATCAGAGTAATCCATGATCATAGTTGAAAGTCAGTACTTTATGATTTTTACTAATACAAAAAAGCAGTGTGTGTTGCTCTGGGCCTGCCCGGATCATTCTCCAGGAAGAGTTGTCAGTTCCAGAAACAGCTTTCTCCAGGTCTTTACCTTGGATTTCTAAAATAATGTTTACTTTGCTCTTTCTTGTTTTGCCATTTTAGATATTATCTTTTGGCTTCCAAATATGGAAGATGAAGGTAAAGATGTGACTTTCTTATAAGTCCTTCAATGCTTTCTTTTCCCTTCTGACTTTCTTTTTCATTTTTTTGTGGTGCTGGGAATCGAATCCCTTGGGACTTTCTTAAAATTCCTTCAGTCCTACCACTGTGCACTCACATTCCTCCTTTTCTTTCCACTCTTCTGAGATAGCTGGGATAGTTTGGAATTATATCTAGAAATTCATTCCCTTCAGTTTTTTATTTTGCTTTAATTTAATTTATTTTTATTTTAGGTGGGGAATTGATCTCAGGCCTCTCGCAGCACTCTGTCTCTTGAGTCATATTCCCAGTCCTTTTGCTTTTTGTTTGTTTTTTTTTTTCACATGGGGTTTCATGCTTTTGTCTGGCTGGCCTTGGACTGAGATCTTCCTGTCTCCATCTCCTGAGTAGCTGGGATTACAGGTGTGTGCCACCACAACTGGCCTAACTAAGTGACAGGGACTTGCTGTGTTGTTCAGGCTAGCCTCAAACTTCTGGCCTCAAGTAATCCTCCTGCCCCAGTTTCCCAACTAGCTGAGACCTATAGGCATATAACACTGCTCAGTGACGGTACCTAGCTATTTTATGTTTTTGATACTCCCTTCCCTTTGTTTTCTAGTCCAGGGGTTCTGAATGTTTTTAGTCTGGGAAATTCAAAATGCATACTTAATCTGTCCATTAAACAATATTACTTTTTAACATAAAGAATATGCTTTTAGTTTATGAAAAGTATTTTCTAAAATGGATAAAGACTTTAATGAGAAGAATTTATTTTAATTTTTGCAAGTCTGTTTAATGTATGGATTCTCATATCTGCTCTGCATTCAGACTATTGGGATATGTTTGTTTTGGTTGAAGTATGTGAAGAGCATCTACCAGATATCTAATTGGAAAAGAGAGGAGCCTTATAAACAGCCTTTAATTGTAGCTATTCTTGTTACTACACCAAACCTCAACACCTGGTATTTTTAAAAGGTTAGTTGCAGCATGGAGTTTAAAACTGTTATCAGTGAACTTTCTGTACTAATGTATATTGAAGAGCATTAGTCTGTCTTTGCTAGGAATGTTTCTTTATCCTTGCATGGTTTTGTAATACACATTGTCACTTGGAATATTGGTTCACTGATACCTATACATCTTCAAAACATTGGTATGTTTTGTTAAACAGTATTAAAAGGAGACATTCTTTACAATCACTACCTTTTTCATCAGAGAAAAGCTTAAAGAAACTCAAATTCATAATGACTGATAGAAATTTACAGAATCATGTTTTTGTTTGTTTTTTTCTTTTTTTTAAATTTATTTTTTTATTATTTATATGTGCATACAATGCTTGGGCCATTTCTACCCCCTGCCCCCACCCCCTCCCTTACCACCTACTCCACCTCCCTTCATCTCTCCCCACCCCCTTGATACCCAGCAGAAACTATTTTGCCCTTATCTCTAATTTTGTTGAAGAGAGAGTATAAGCAATAATAGAAAGGAACAAGGGTTTTTCCTAGTTGAGATAAGGATAGCTGTACAGGGAGTTGACTCACATTAATTTCCTGTGCATGTGTGTTACCTTCTAGGTTAATTCTTTTTGATCTAACCTTTTCTCTAGTTCCGGTCCCCTTCTCCCATTGGCCTCTGTTGCTTTTAAGGTATCTGCTTTAGTTTCTCTGTGTTGAGGGCAACAAATGCTAGCTAATTTTTTAGGTGTCTTACCTATCCTCATATCTCCCTTGTGTGCTCTCGCTTTTATCTTGTGATCAAAGTTCAATCCCCTTGTTGTGTTTGCCCTTGATCTAATGTCCGCATATGAGGGAGAACATACGATTTTTGGTCTTTTGGGCCAGGCTAACCTCACTCAGAATGTTGTTCTCCAATTCCATCCATTTACCAGCGAATGATAACATTTCATTCTTCTTCATGGCTACATAAAATTCCATTGTGTATAGATACCACATTTTCTTGATCCATTCGTCAGTAGTGGGGCATCTTGGTTGTTTCCATAACTTGGCTATTGTGAATAGTGCCGCAATAAACATGGGTGTGCAGGTGCCTCTGGAGTAACCTGTGTCACAGTCTTTTGGGTATATCCCCAAGAGTGGTATTGCTGGATCAAATGGTAGATCATTGTTTAGCTTTTTAAGTAGCCTCCAAATTTTTTTCCAGAGTGGTTGTACTAGTTTACATTCCCACCAACAGTGTAAGAGGGTTCCTTTTTCCCCACATCCTCACCAACACCTGTTGTTGGTGGTGTTGCTGATGATGGCTATTCTAACAGGGATGAGGTGGAATCTTAGTGTGGTTTTAATTTGCATTTCTTTTATTGCTAGAGATGGTGAGCATTTTTTCATGTGTTTTTTTAGCCATTTGAATTTCTTCTTTTGAGAAAGTTCTGTTTAGTTCACTTGCCCATTTCTTTATTGGTTCATTAGTTTTGGGAGAATTTAGTTTTTTAAGTTCCCTATATATTCTGGTTATCAGTCCTTTGTCTGATGTGTAGCTGGCAAATATTTTCTCCCACTCTGTGGGTGTTCTCTTCAGTTTAGAGACCATTTCTTTTGATGAACAGAAGCTTTTTAGTTTTATGAGGTCCCATTTATCTATGCTGTCTCTTAGCTGCTGTGCTGCTGGGGTTTCATTGAGAAAGTTCTTACCTATACCTACTAACTCTAGAGTATTTCCTTCTCTTTCCTGTATCAACTTTAGAGTTTATGGTCTGATAGTAAGATCCTTGATCCATTTTGAGTTAATCTTGGTATAGGGTGATATACATGGATCTAGTTTCAGTTTTTTTGGAGACTGCTAACCAGTTTTCCTAGCAGTTTTTGTTGAATAGGCTGCTTTTTCTCCATCGTATATTTTTAGCACATTTGTTAAAGTGTTTGTTTTTTCTTGATGCTCATATTTTATTGTTGACAGCAAATCTGCTCAGTGGTTTTCTTTAAAGTGGGACTTCATTCATTTTTAGGACAATTTCTACCCCATACAAGTCTGCCAGGAGTTCTTTTCTTTTCTATAGAAATGGCATTCAGCAGGAAAATCCACTATTTCAGGTCAGGGCTGTCAAAGCAGAAGTGCTTCGTGCTATTTCTGTTTCTTCACACAGAATATTAAAAAGGCAGTTGCTCAAAGGCTGATATTAAATACAGTTAATAATTTCACTGCTGTATAAGGACTTTCTAAGGGAAGGTGGTGTTGAGTTTGTGGTGATGAAGAATTCAGTGAGCACTGGGACAGAGAGGTGCCTCCATCCTGATTTGTGCCAAGGCCCAGTAGCTTTTCCTGCCATTGATTGTCTTCATACCATCAGTGCAGAGGCCAACGTGAGAAGGAACACATGTTCCAGTATTACTTAAAAAACAGGCCTGATCTCCCAGACCCTAAAAGGTCTTGAGACTCCCATTGTCCAGGAGCTACATTTTGAGAACCATTCATCTGACTTTCTAAAATGCCTGTTAGTCAGATGTTGGGGCTGTCCTGACATGGATTACTTAATTTTTAAAGCGTCTTTTCTGTTTTCTTCTCTTTAATTCCCTCCCTTCCTTCCTCTCTCCTTCTTTCCTCCTTTCCTCCCCTCCTTTACCCTCCCCAGAAATAGCTTCAACTTTCTTTTTTAAATTAAAAAAAATTTTTTTGTGTGTGTGATAAATCTAGGCCTTTGTGCTTGGCAGGCAAACTCTCTATCACTGAGCTATATCCCCTATCGCTTGGTTTTTTGAGACAGGGTTTCACTATATAGGCCAGGCTGGCTTTAAACACTCAGTCCTCCTGCCTCAGCTTCCCAAGTGCTGAGTTTGCAGGCCTGTGCCACCTTATTTGGACCTTCAACTTCACTTTTAAAACCTTGAATGAATTGACTATTTCTGCTAATACTTGTAATATCCCATGACGCCTTATATTCTGAATCTTCATTTTTTATTTCTTTGAGGATATTACTAGTAAAAAATTACTGCCCTGCATTTGTTCTGACCTTCTTTAAAGTTTGTTTTGCTCTCTCTTTGAGGCTGTCCTCATGCCTGGTGATCCTTAGCAATCTGTTCCTTTTTAAAAGTAAAACACTACAGCCAATTCAAAGGTCCCAGCTGGACCAGCCTGTAGCAAAGCCTAACTGTCAGCAGTTTCCTGGACCTTCCAGGCTGCATTTTAATACCAGTGTGTAGGCAAGGTAGTGTATTGCACAACAATACATTTGAATGTTTGGTTTCTCCCCCAAAACAAGGTATGTTGATTAAAGGTATGTTGATTAAAGGTTATTGAACCCTTGTTTTTTTTGGTCTTGAGCCTTGTATTTTAAAGGGATCTGTTATTGACCAGGGAAGTGACATTATTGAGTCAAAGACACAGAAAAATTATTTATATTTTATAAATTTTTGTGGAAAGAAAAAGGATAGGATAGGCAGTGTTTGAGACAATTTAGCCATGTAGTCAAGAAAAAAAGAAAAAGGTACAATTCTTGTATGCCTGAACATACTTAAATAGTAAGTAGTGGACAGTTCAGGAAACATGACAATTTAGTGGTTTGTATTTCAAATGTTTTATAATAAATATTGTGCTAGATGCTCTATAAATATTTTCTAATTTCATTTTCTTGAAGTTGCTCCTAGTCCAATATTATTCATCTTCAGTTTAATAATAGACGCTGTGGTGTTAAATAGCATAGTTAAAAAACAGCTAATACTCAATTTCACTTTTTTCTGATTGGCTCTTTCAAACTGTATTTCATCTTCTGGAAAGCTACCTTTCTTAGTTTCAGACCTTTATGCATTTGCTTTGTTTGGTTTGTTTTCTTTTCTGGTCTTGTAGTAAATAGGCAGTTAAGAGCCAGTTTTGTCCTTGAATTCTTTCTAGTGTATTTCAGACAGGTTCCTTGTTGCATTTATTATTTTCTCCTTTCTTTTGATACCTGAGCATATTTTATGTTTTCAACTTTGACTCTTTAGTATTTATGCCAGTCTTCCTGACTAGATTTTTAAGTTCCTAGGGCAAAAAGAATTTCGTTTATCACTACCTTAGAAATTAGCATGGTGTTAGTTTGTCAATTAAACTAATTAAGAATAGCATGTTACAACTTGAATAGTAATTATTTTTATGTTTAACAGCACAGTGGCAGACTTGAAGTGGTGTTTTGGGATAACCCAGTTCAGTTCCCTTCCTATATTGGGTAAGGAAGGTAGGAACCAGAGGAGGACAGTAGAGCTCACATAGTCCATGGTTCTAAGCTCTTTCCAGATTTTAAGGCAGATAGTGATACTCAGTCTTGCCAGGAGAGACATTTTCTCTTATTTTGACCATGGCATTTGTGCAGTGTCATATTCTCTGCTCTTCTATACTGCTTCCTTTGAGTGTCTGCACTGGTTCCACAGAAGATGGGCTAATAGCTCTTGATAAATATCTGAGAAGCCAAATTAATAATCAAAAGGCCATTGGTGAGCAGTGGACTCAGAATGAAGTGAACATGGTGAGGCTCTATGTTCCCCAGCAGCGACCATCTTACTTAATACTTAGGTGAATCTCCTAGGCTTATATTTCATGGCCAGTGGCTTTGTTCTTGACAGTTTTTTCAGTTGTGTTGCTACTGCTGATTAACACCAAACCTGCCTCATGTTTTTGACTTGGGATACATTTTGACTCCAAGCATCTGTTTCATTTTCAGAGCTTAAGGGGCCTTCTTATTGTTCCTGTCTTTATTTATTTCTTCCTTTCTAAGCCTGGCATATGTACTAAAACTACTTTACTTTAAAGATATAGTTAATATTCTAGAAATGTCCTTTTTTCCTTTCTCCAGCTGATTCTCTTTCTTTCAAGTAAGAAAGCTTACTTGAATTTTGTTGGAGACTACCAGTATACAATTAATTTAATCAGCTCATTTCTTTAGAATTACAACAGAGTATTTTCTATCAATGTGACCCAGAAACTATTTAAAATTTTTTTGATTAAAAATTTCAGAATCACTGAAACCCCCAAAAGAATGCTTGCCAAAACCACAAATAAAGGCATTGTGTCTTGGAATCAATAGCATTGTTCATTCATTCTTTTTTCCACAAGGTCAAACAGTCAGTCATGCATATTTTTGTAGGCACAGTGAAATAGTTTCAAGATTCTATGTAAGGAGTTCTTGTAAATGAAACGGGTCTGCTAAAGTTCTTTTACAAAGACTGAGCTGAGGTTTGCAAGAAATGTAGAGGGCAACAAAATATGCCTTTATAAACGATCCATTTGAGGTAGGAAAGGAATGGAGAGGCCTTTCATAGAACTGATGGTTAATTTGGACATATGACAAAAAACAGAGCTGCTGCTTCAGAAATGGGCATCAAAATAAAAATGAGACCTTAAGAGTTCTGGTCCCAGCTGTATTTCCTCTTCTTAGCTCTCTGTGCTTGGAAAATTTTTTTAAAAACTTCTGAGCTTCAGTTTATACATCTGTAAAGTAGAGCTGATACCATCTGATTTGCTTCCCTTTACTGCATTGTTGTGAGGTTTATGGAAGCACTTTGAAAACTGTCCTGGAAGATGTTTTATCATTTTGCTTCCATGTTTTTCTTTAAGAGGAAGGATAGTCCTCTTGGGAAGAACAGAATAGACATCAGACATTATCATGAGGGAATTGAAGTTGATGGAAGAATAGAAACTGAAAACATGCTGCATGTGTGCTGTAGATACTGTACACCTTCCTTTAGTCATAGTTAACGTACACATGCCATCTTGATACCTGGTTCTGATGAATTTGAAGGTGATGGATCAACTGAAGTCAGTACATCTCAGTAGAGTAGTCATCGTCGGTCTCAGGAGAGGCTCTGCCCTTGACCTTCATTACTTTGATTGTGATTTTAATGGTCACTGAAGTATTTATTTATTTATTTATTTATTTATGTTTGCTAGAACTGGGGTTTGAACTCAGGGCTTCAAGCTTACAAAATGGGCACTCTACCACTTGAGCAATACCTCCAGCCTGCTTTACTATGGTCATTTTGGAGATGCTGTCTCAAGAACTATTTGCCAGGGCTGCCCTTGAGCCATAATTCTCCTGATCTCAGCCTCCCAAGTAGCTAGGATTATGATGTGAGCCACCAGTGCTCAACTTGAAGTACTATTTTTGATATTTGTAGTTGGATCTAAGTTGGGGATTGTTGATGGAGGGTAGGCAGCTGATAAAATAATGCTGGAACTTCATGGCCTCTACTTACTTAAATATAATCAGATGTTTTCTGACATTCTCCTGTACACATTTTTTTATATACGTTCCATGTAGTTATAATCATACAATAGAAAATTTTTATATCCTACTTTTGAACTTAGCATTATATAATAAAATATTTCTCTGTTATAATAGAGGTGTTTCTGATAGCTGCCTGATATTTGAAGTGGATTCACCATAATTGCCTCACCATTTTTCTTACTATTGAACATAGATATTTTTGATTGCCTTTTTACCCCTTCACTTAAAGTAGTCCTCAGTTCCTGTCTTTTCAGTTATGTCAGCAAAACTATTAAAAGCACACTAGATGGCTATAGCAGTTCCTTTCATGAAGATTAGTTCTGACATCCATTTCCCTCCCTGTCAGATTCTGGAGTCCCTGTGGATCGTTATGAGCCGGAATGTGAGCCTGCTGTTCACCACGGTTACCACACTGCTGACCATCCTCTTCTATAGTGGCACTGCCCTTCTCAATTTTGTGCTCTCCCTGGTATGTGAAGCTAGGTCATCACACATTGCATATATTTCCTTCTCCAGGAAAAGCATTTTTCTGGTCTGTTTGCATTTGCAAATGTCTGTCTTCTCTAGTTTCCTGAGATACTGTCCTTTGTTTTGCAGATAATTTTCCTGACCACACTATTTTATCTGTTAAGTTCCAGTGATGAATACTACAAGCCAGTGAAGTGGGTGATAAGCCTGACACCACTATCTCAGCCAGGTCCTTCTTCTAATATTATTGGCCAGTCTGTGGAAGAAGCTATCAGGTAGGAATAAGATTTATCTTATTCTTCCCCTCCCCAGCTGCTTGAGAAACCTGTTTTCTATCTTGAGCTTCCTGATAACATTCAGTTCTAAATTAGCGAAGTATTCTGGTATTCTCAAGATTTTTTATCTCATCTTGAGAGGTGCAGTGCACATGTTTTTTGTTGTTGCTGTTGTTTTTTTTGAGGGGTGGGGGGAACGGTTCTCACTCTATAGCCCAGGCTGGCTTTGAACTTACAATCTTCTTTCCTCTGCCTCCCAAATGCTGGGATTGCAAGGCTGCACCACAGTGCCTGCTAGTGCACATGTTAATAAGGAAAAAAATTCCAAGAAGTTTGTTTTCTTACATTCCAGCCTGTGATTTGCAAAAATGTAGCACCAGTTTCCATCATTTTTCCATCATCAGGCTCTTAGTTTAGCTTCCATCATCATGTCACTTGCTCTGGAGAAACCCCCTCTCCTACCACACACACTTTACGTCTTCAGAGCCCTCTTCTCTTCTCAGCAATTCTAGTTTGGACCTAGGAGAGGAGTACGTGGTTTCCTTGTTTTTTCCTCTCTCCCTGTGCAACTAGGTTGTGCCCTCTACAGGGGTAGGTCTGATAGCAGAAATGCAGAGTTTTTGGTTACTTCCCAAGTCCTAGGCTCTGTGTGCATTATAGAGTTTGAACAGAAACTTCTGTCATGCCTCTGTGGTCTATGTATTGCAGTCTTGATGTCTGAATGAGATTCTTTTTCAATGTGTATACCTCATAGGCTCTTTGCAAGTTACTGGCTCCTGGCCTCCTTTTCTTTTCCTCTTGCAGCCCAGGCCTTGTTAAGCTCCTTCCTAACCCTGTCACTCATTGCTTATTAACATTACCCTACTTTCTTACTTTTTGTGAGTAGCTACTTAAATTAAACCCTTGTGTCATCCATTAGAGCTCCTCTTTCTAATAAATTGTTAGCCAGGCCATCTTTAATGTCTGTTGGATAGTGAATCTTTGGCATTTCAGTTTCTATATACTTTAAAAAAAAATTACCACTGTTTGGAACTAATTATCCATAGAAGTCTTGATTTGACTGATAATCCTGTCTGACTGTTCTTGGCTGATATTTTCACTGTATTTATGTCACAGCTAGGGAGAATGCCACTGTGATCTTCAGAAACCTGCAGCTACATTCTAGTATGCTCCTAAAGTGTGTCATCTCTGGAAACTTTGGTAGGGTTTTTCCCTTTTTCTTCCTGACAAAGTCTTGAGTAAAGTCTTCACCAGCACTTTACTTCCTCCATTTGACTGGATGTCAAATGGGATTTTTGGAAAAAATGCTCTTAGTACCTACACGGTATCCTCAGATATCCATGTAGAGCCATCCATAATAAAGATTTAGGTTGGGAGTTATTATCTAACAGAACAGCTTTCAAAGTGACACTGTCTTCAGGGAAGTGTTAGTGTTAGCATCCCTTCTAAGCCTGTATGACCTTTAGTTATCATCCTTATTGGGTAAATGAAATGATGAAAGCTCCATTAATAGATTATCTTTGGTTTATTTAAGAGATACTATTCTAACTCAAAAAAGCTTAATGCAAGTACTGTTCCCCCAGAAGGAAAAATAACCTTCTAACTTCCCAATATAATAAAACTATTGAAACAGCCCTTTTAAAGGCTGGCAACAATCCTCTAGCCAGTGTGACTTAAGTCAGGCTGTACAGAAAAATACCTACCTTGTCCATAAAGAACTTTTTTTTTTGTGATACTGGAGCTTGAACTCAGGGCCTTCACCTTGAGCCACTCCACCAGCCCTATTTTGTGAAGGGTTTTTTGAGGTAGGGTCTTATGAACTATTTGCCCCAGATGGCTTCAAACTGCAATCCTACTAATCTTTGCCTCCTAAGTAGCTAGGATTACAGGTGTGCCACCAGCGCCTGGTCATAAAGAATTTTTTTAAGGAAGACAACGCTTTGTTTTCCTACAGTAACCTTCATTAGCACTGATTCTTACAGAAGCTTTTCTGATTTCACATCATAGTTCCTGAGTTTTCTCTTGTTTTGCTTTCTCAGAGTGAGCTACTTGCTGACTGTCTTCTAAAATGTCTGTCATTGCTTATTTTTTGTATCAAATAAACCACCTCATTATTTATTTATTTATTTATTTTTGTGGGACTAGGGTTTGAACTCAGGCTTTGCACTTGCAAAGCAGGTGCTCTACCACTTCTCTGGTTATTTTGGAGATGGGCGGCAGAGGGGGGGGGTGTCTCACAGACTGTTTGCTTGGCTGGCCTCGAACCGTGATCATCCTGATCTCTGCCTCCCAAGTAGCTAGGATTATAGGCGTGAGCCACCAGCACCCAGCTCGTTTGTTTTTATTTTGAGATAGGGCCTTGCTATGTACTTCAGGCTGGCCTCAAACTCAGGATCATCCTGCTTCTGCCTCCCAAGTACTGGAATTACATACCTGGCTTCATCTTCATTTATTTATTTTTTGAGGGGTGGGGGGTGTCAATTTGGGATTTTAACTTAGGGCCTTGAGCTTGCTAGGCAAGTCCTCTACCATTTGAGCCATGCCCCCAACTTTAGTTTACTTTGTTTTGCTTTAGTTTATTTTTCAGATAGGATCTTGTGCTTTTACCCAGGGTCCACCTCGGACGCAATCTTCCTATCTCTGCCTCCTGAGTAGCTGGGATTGCAGCTATGTGGCATCATGCCCGACCCCTTTATCTTTAGTACCAGAATTATAGTCCTATTGGTTCTGAAAGCTGATTGATTTCTGTGAGTTTGTTAAATCTGATACAGATTAGACAATGTGTTCTGGCCTGGGCCATTTTTCTGATCAAAGGTGTATCATGTTACAAATTAAAGATTATAATTCAAGATGAATTTTTGCAGTCTTAAGTCCTTTGGGCTGTTTCTTTACTGAATCAAATTCAAGACTTAAAATGTGCAGATTTTTCATGGATCCCTCTCAAAAGTTTTTTTTATGTAGCCATCAGTGAGTTCTGTTTCCAAGAGTTCTTGGCAACATTTTCATTCTGAAGGTTTGTGTTCTAAAAGGAATATGTTTCTTCATGGAGAAAGATTTTAAGTGGAAAAATATTATACAAATATTTTGCAATGACTTGAAAGTACAGATTGGTCTGTAAATTATCAGAATATCACACTTAATAAACAACTGTTTAGTCATCGTCCATGTTGCAGTTAAGTGGAAGTCATTAAGCTCATTTTATATGATTCTTTAAGAAGTTAAAAGTGGAGTGATATTGGGGGTTAACTGCATGACCATCCAGGGGAAGTGTCTGCTCCTGAAGCTTTGTCTTCTGAAATATGTGGCTCCTTTATAAACACTGTGTCATTGACTTTTTGAACCTTAATTATTATTTTAATTCTGAATCAGTGTTCTCCTAAATTGAATACATTTGTGATGAGGTTTTCATTTCATGAGTTTTTGAGTTAGTGGCATGCATCCTTCATCCCCAAACCATTTTCCTCCCTTTAGCAGCATGTTGCTTCCTGAATGTACACATCACACCCTTCTTCCCCGATGCTCCCATTCTGCTTGCTCTGGTGGAGATATTGCACATTACTAAGTTGCATGTTGTCACCGCCTCAGTGCAATTTAGTGTGTGTGATATTTTCACATGAGTGCATGCACACGGTATGGCTCTTGCTTGCTGGGATTACAGCTTTTCAGTGCTGGTGGGTGGAAGCCCTACTGATGAATTAGATGGAAGAGTGTGTGCACTGTACTACTTTGATTTGGAGAGTGGACATGTTGTCCACCTCTGCACCCAATTTTGAAGAATTAAAAGTTTTGGTTTAAAAAAAACGGTCAGTGTTGATCCTTTAATAAATCAGTATTTCCATTTTTTACTTTAAGCAAATTAAATATTCATTGGAAAGAAATTCTCACATATTTAAGGGTAACAATATTTATTTAAATTATAATGTATAATGAAGGATTTAAAGCCATAAGAAGTATTTTTATTTATTTCAGCTCTCCTAACACTGAAATAAAGGCAGAATTTCTTATGCATATTTGGGAAGAATAAATTAGCTGGAATTCTTAAGTAATAATCATGACAGTAAATGTATGCCTTTTAATTTGATTTAATTTTATTTGATTAAAGATCTTATATACCTGAACCTTAATTTTATTGGGTCTCCAAGGAAAATAGCCTTTAAAATTTTTGCTTTATATGTAGCTTTTCATTGTGATGCTTGAAAAATTGTTATAGTCAATTTTAATGGACTCACCATAGAACTATTTATTTATTTATTTATTTATTTTTTTATTTTAGCGCAACTGGGGTTTGGACTCATGGCTTTGTGCTTGCAAAGCAGGTGTTCTACCACTTGAGCTATGCCTCTAATTCATTTTGCACTGGTTATTTTGGAAATGGGGTCTCAACTATTTGCCCTGGGGGGGGACCTCAAACCTTGATTCTTCTGACCTCAGCCTCCCAAGTAGTTAGGACAATAGGTGTGAGCCACCAGTGCCTAGTTTCAGTAGAACTAGTTTTGAGATACAGATGTTTACTAATTTTGTAATTGGAACCACCTTTTTAAAAATTTTATTTATTTTAGCATTAGAGTCATCATGCATGATCAGTAGGCATTGTCAAGGACACAAAACTTGTATTAATGATATGTTATTAATGACATAAAATATTGAATTACTATTACTACTGCCAGAGTCTTGAGATGACCTCCAGTGTATGTTTCTGTGAATCAAAGCTGTTTTCACTGTGTACAGATTTTTGTGCATGCAACTCTTCCCTGTACCCCTCCACAATTTGGGGTCTGAATGCACAAATGACCATTCCTGTCATGCTGGAAATCTACTGTTGACCAGGTTTCTGTGCAATGAATTGTGGAGCTGGGTCTTTGGGGTAAATGAAAGGGGGAGGAGAGAAAGAGATGTAACTTAAGAGAGGTCAGGTATTCAGGCATATCTCAGAATAGTGCATGTTCAGTTCCAGGCCATTGCAGTGAAACAATTGCATGAATTTTTTGGTTTCCCAGTGC